CGCGATATCCGGAGCCGATACTCCGGAGCGTGGAGGCCGGGGGATTTCAGCGCCGGCGCCGGAGCTGAAGTCGAAACTGAAGCGGCGACCTCGCGCGTCGCCACCGGATGGCAGATCCGTGAGAATCATCGATAACACCCTTCTCGACCTCTTTTACTCTTTCTTTAAATATGATGTAATTCTTACTTCGATCGTCCCAGACTTCCGCCGTCCTTTACCTCTTCAACATTACTGCTAACTATAAATTCCACCTTGCTCGCTCGAGTGCGATTTACGCGTTTTACATCCGTGATAATCGAGCAATTATTATTTATCACGACACGTGTATTCACGCGGTTTGTTTCGTTGCATCGTAAATTATAAGAAATGTTCGTAATGCATTTTATTTCGCAAATATGTGGAATGAAAATAGCGAAGGCACATTTCCCAAAATTTCTGCTTGTATCAATAATAATGATTCTTTGCAAGAAGCACCTATTATATCTTCTTCATTCCTGTCACGACTCGCGACTTAACTTATAACATCTCAGCGAATTAATGCAATCGATTAAGTCAATTTACACCGTAATGCGAAGCTGGAATTTAGTTGCAAACTTTAAGCCGATTTTCGATGCAGTTGTCCGCTGCCTTTCTCTTAACGTTGCCGGGATAATTCCGGGGCAAAAGTTGCGAGCAACGACATATATAAATAGCCGAGACCTTCGTATACTTTAGCACGGCAGAAAGTAAAGCCGGAAATTAGCAGTTTACGACTGACAAAGACAGTTGGCCTGTAAGCTTACATCTTGCTTTCTCACGATGTCTTTCTTTCCGACACCAAAAGATGATATCTTGCTGTAAGATATATATGGATTATCTTTCTCCATCGTAAACTGCCGATTTCCGGTTATTTCACTCCACGGATAGTGCACTTGGTTCATTTATATATGTTATTGATTGTACAACTAAATTCTAATTTAAAAAATAAAGAATTTTATATAGTTTTATCGGCTGCTTGCGTGACATGTTTATCATTAATTACTGATTAACTGCAACGCGTCCACAGGATGAGCGAAACGATTATGAGAAAAACATGATTAATCAGCATAGTTACGAAATTCGATGCACATTTATATACTCTTGCGTTAATCACATCGATAAAGTCGCGAGAAATCATGTAGTACTTAAACAAACGGATTTCTTCTGTTAAACAGTGACTCATTAAAAATTCTGTGTTTGTAAAACAATGATTTGTCTTCGGATGAACGCGTCAACTGGTTTCTTAATTCGTTTATGTAATTTGCAAAGACTTTAAATCATGCCATTTTTTGCAAAATGTAAAATTAAATAAATTTTACTAATACTGTAAAATGTGATTCTTTAAACACAAATAATGACATAAAAGACGATAAGAATCAGAAGCGCAGTTGTCGGAGCGCAAAAATAATCAACTGTTATAAATTAATATACAAAAGAACGTTTTTATTTATATTCTTTTTATGTGCTCCATAAAATCTTTATCCTTTTTCTTCCTTTCTTATGTTCTATTAAACTGAAAAGAGTCCAGAATTGTGGCCAAAATATTTTCTGTGTATTAATTTATAATAATTAATAATTTTTACGCTCCTATCGTGTTTATGATTTTTATTACTTTCGCTGTCACTTGCGATACGCCGACAAATAAAGAATAATCGCAATTTGAAAGATCAATTAATAAACATGAAATGAAAGAAGCAATACAAAAGAAAAAAAAGCCCGATTACGTTTATAATGCAGCTGACTTTAGAAAGCTATGCTTAAAGATTAATTGAGATATGTAAGTAGAATGTCGCGCTCTAAAGAACGCAGTTAACTACGTATAGTTAACTACGCAGTCTATTTATAATGTGAATTACGATTGTCGGTAATTTGCTGCTACCATGGCCGAGGGTTCAGTGACGAGTGCACAAGGGCATCGTCACGCTCGAGTTCCGTGATTGACATCCCATCTTAATTAGCGATACCTGTTCTTCTCGAGTTGTTTAAATTGCAGACAATCGTGCGAAATGAAGAAACGCCGACGAAGATTGCGATAAAACGCCGACGAGGATTGCGATAAAACGCCACGCGCGCACTCATGCGAAAACTTGTCAGTGTCTAATAGCGAACATATTGTTATCGCGGTCGATTTATACCAGATATCCTCGCGGCGTTGCGGAGTTTATCAACAGATTCCGCAATGCGGATCGCGTTTTGCAGCGGACATGCACTTTTGACCAGCACTTTTCGTCAGATCCGTTAGTTAAACATTATGATAGCGAGAGCTATCCGTGTCATCGTCGACAGGGATAGAAAGAGGGAGATAGTGAAAGGAAAGAGAGAAAAGGAGCGGAGTAAGGAAGGAAAAACGGGAGAGAAAGAGGGAGTCATTATTCGAAAATAACGCGCGCTTCACCGCAGACTTTCGCGAAAGCTCGCATAGCTACGAAAGCGATCCGCGCCGGTTCGTAAACGTTCGCGCGGGCTTAACTGCCGGTAATACGTAGCTTTGCAATTTGCAGCTCGTGTGCGTACGTATATACGTATGCATCGCGGAATATCATCAAGGACGCGTGCCCCACGGGCACTCGTAATTTGGTACAATTCGTACTACTACTCACTGCTATCTCCATTCCACTCATTCAAAAGGCTCGATTAAGCACGGCTCCTCGACGTCCATCGTTAATCATTCGCTCTATCAGCTGAAAGCATACTTAATATTTGAATACGTTTATCCATAAATGCCCGCGGTTTTAATATAACGCGGAGAAATTCGACGAAAGTCACTCAACGGAATGTAAATCATTATTCGCATTCGAAATGTCATTTTCGAAAAATGTAACTTTCGACTTTGAGGTTGCGTTCGCGTCGGACGCTCCCGATAATTGCAAGTTGCAAAATTTACTCACGATTTTCTACTCTACGAGACATTCAACTCCGCATATCGTCGCACGTGCGTCTCGTGCAACAAGGTTGTATTCTTAAGAACGAAAAAATTACATCTGTTTCCGGCAACTTTAATTCGGGGGTGGTCTCGTTAAACTTCTCAGGAACCGACCGAACTTCGTCAAGGATCACACAATCAGTCTCGAGGCGGGATATCGATTCTCGCCGAAGAGTCCCGAGTGCGGCCGAGTTTGTGAAAGTGACGTACACGAGTAGTGCACGAGCGGTCGCGAACTGGTGAGTTGGTAGTGGTCAGCGGTGGTCACTGTTGGACTCTGACTGACTTGACGTGTCTCAGTCGACGTTGCATCGTGCAAGTTTTTTTTAATTCTCTCGTCCCGCTTTCCGTGGGGAAAACGGTCATCCCGAGATCTGCGCTGGGCAAGACAATTGACAGTTGACGCTACAGACGATACGGTGTGTGTCAGGTAGACTGAACAATAGGCGAGCAAGACGATAGATGATGAACGATAAGCGACGGACGACAGGTCATAGGCGATGATAGGCGATGCATCGTAAACGATAGACGGTGGGCGGTACGATTGGCAATTCGTGATTTGCGATAGCAATAGGTCATGCACACGAGTTTCATTTCAATTGATTCAGTAACGTCGCGCGCGACCACCCGCGCCCTTTCACATTTGACTCGTGAAATTGCCTTTTTGTGCGTTCGATATTTTCAGATTCCCTCAATTTTCAATTCTACCGGAGAGCATTATCGTCATTTGAATCATGATCTTAGCAGAATAAACATTCGTCATCAATTTACAAGCAATAATTATTTTTTCCGATTTTTCTATTGCTAGATAAATCCCATTGTAAAGCTGTCGAAGCGAAGATCGATTATTGTGACCTAACCTAACCTTGAAGGCGTAAATTCGCCGCAATTCGATCATCGAGATTCTAAACGTAACAAATATTGCCTTAAATATCGCTTAGCGAACGTCACTTTCTCAAGATGGTCACTCCTCAAACTCCAGGTGAATTTTACATTTCTTTTTTCTTCCTGCTAGTTTTTATTGCATTGTTAGCAGTGTATTGACATTTGTGCATTTACCATTGTTCAATGGAATGCATGATAACACTTATGTCATCTCTAACATTATCTGCTGATATTTATCTTGTTGAGTTCTAAATTTGTTTACATTATAATGCTAATCCTTTTCCAGAAATATAAATGTTGTTGTGGATACTGATATTTTTTGCCTACTTTTGTAAATAAATACAATAATAAAATATAAATTGATGATTTTATAAAAAAATTGCAGTTTTATTTATGCTATATAATATTATATATTATGTCATATTTAATGCACAGGTGTAGACCCCTGGGCGATTCAGCCCAGAGAAAGGCTGAGGTATCAAGAACAGTTTGAATCCTTACAACCGATCAATGGGATTGTTACCGGTGAACAAGCGAAAGGTTTTCTCCTTAGATCCCAACTTCCACCAGCTACTCTCGGACAAATATGGTAACGACATCATTGAACACTAAGGATCGTGTCAAGCTATGTCACATTCTCTAATTCTTTGTGTATCGCACAGGGCATTATCGGATACAGATGCAGATGGGAAGATGGATATAAATGAATTCAGTATTGCATGCAAATTGATCAACCTAAAATTACGTGGTTTTGAAATCCCTAAAGTACTACCACCCATTCTCATGCAGAGTTTGAAATCTTTCTCACCTGGTAAGTGAATGTGTGTTATATATATAATTTATATATATTGTATATTATATTATAAAACATTTCAGATGCCAACCTGGCATTGACAAATGGTGCGACTGCTCTTCCTCCAAATAATATTGGCTCTCTAGTGAATCTTAGTGGGCATCAACCAATGGTATCTCAAACTATAGCAAGTGCAGTGCCCACAGCAGGAGCTACATCGCATCCCCTTATAGGTAATGAATTAAATGTTGACTCATTTTTGCGTTATTTGTTATAGCGTTACCCTGCTATTTCTTGATCAACATTGTCAATTAGATGCTTATGTATAATATCATGAAGTAGTAGAAAAGAAATTATAACTTGTAAAACTTCCAATTGTCTAAAGCACCAAAGATACACTCTTTCCCAGATGTTCGTCACTCATTAGATTCGTTCATGGCTACAATATCACTGGTATCTGATAAATTTATATAATAGCAATCATATCATCATAAATTAAATGAAACATATGTCAATGTTGTCACTTTAACCACAAAACATATTGATTACTAAACATAACTTACCTGTGTGTACTCATAATGCATCATACTACACAGCATTACAACAAAATAGACAGAATGTGGCTCCAAGTACACATGCTACAACTCATACACCGTCTAAGCCACCCGCTCGACCTGCACCACCTTCTGTGGGTATGTGAATTGTATTGAATGTTGTGTGTTATGTGGGTCAATTTATCTTTTTTTCCCCGAAGCAAGCTTTTATTTGATAGCTTTATTTGAAATATGTAATCTTGTAAGCTAACTACAATTTTCTTAATATAAAACAGGTGCATTTTCGTTACTATTTTGATGATCAGTTTTCAGATATTTATATAACATTGAAAATATTTTACGATGGCTTTGAAAATTGTAATTTATTTTGTATGTAGATTAAAAATTTTTTATCTTTATAGTCTAATGCTTTTTATATGATGTGTGTTGGAGTTTGCCTTTTCAGCAAGTATATTTGTTATCAAAAGAATTTGTGTATATTTTAATTGTTATTTTAATATTAGACATATGACATATCATTACATTTATCATAAAAACACGAAGATTCTCATAAGCATTTGAATTTTGCCACATATAGGAATACTAATAAGTTTGAATATTTTTCGTAAGTAAACAGATTGTGATATTGTTTTCTAATGACAAAATTAGAATTTTTATTTGCCGATGATAATGTTTTATCAGTTATATGTTTTGCATTCTTGTATTTATATATCGTTCATATATTTGCATTTTTTTATTTTTTCATTCTTCAACAACATGTCATTAATAATGTCTTACACTTCACGCGGCAAAAAAAAAAAGGAATTGCACCTCCTACCACAACTGGTGGTATCGCTCCCCCACAAAGACCTGCACCGCCTACAAATATTGGTATGTCCAAATAAACACATACTACAAACTCAATATGTTACTCTACGCGGAATTCACAAGCAACACTTTATTGTCAGACATCCTTCAGTTGCTTTTTCATCTTTGCGATTGAAAAAATATAATCATAATCTTTCGGAATTGTTCAGGGAGTAGCTTTACGCCTACGGCGGGTGGCCCACCACCAAAACCAGCACCACCTTCATTCCCAAATAGTCCTGTAGGAATCTCACCCTTGAAAGCTCCAGTGTCCGTCGTTGGTGCGCCAGTTCCTGTTATCGGTGCGCCAGTTTCTTCAGTTCCACCAATATCTGCTTCTGGCATAGGTAAGCAGTTGAAATCAACTTGGCATTAAGATTAGAGTATTTTGAAACATTATCCTACGCTATATATTTATCAATTAATTTTGCTACATAATTACAAAAATATAAAAGACTAGTTTTATACAGAATTTTATTGATAATACTGTAATTAATTTTAACTAGGTATTCCATCAGTAGCGCCAATTGCTCCTTTAAACACAAATCCTGTACCGATGGCTGCCTTTAATATGGCACAACCACAGCCGTTAGGTATGGTCACCGCAGGCATGGTTGCTCCTATACCTGGCATTCCCAGTATGGTATCGTCAATTGGATCGATAAATACTGGTATGTATCGAAAATGAAGTCTTATAATTTGCATTTATAGCGACGTTTATTTTGATACATTTTGCTCTATTTGATTTTTAGGCACCGGAGTTGCTTCAGCAGTAGCGTTACCATTAGTATCCTCGACAACTGCGAACGGCGCGTTGGTCAATGGCGCTATCACGCAAACACCGGTATCCACAAACACACCGTTGAGTACGACAGCTCGCCCACCAAGTATAGATAGAGTGGGCTCAGTGGATTCGCAGCACAGCCAGCATTCTGTTGGTTCTCCACAATCTGCAGAATGGGCGGTGCCACATCAGACCAAATTAAAGTACACTCAGTTATTTAATACTTGGGACAGAACGAGATCTGGCTTTCTTTCTGGGCCACAAGCGAGAAACATCATGGTGCAATCACAATTGCCGCAACCTATCCTTGCTCAAATATGGTATGAAAGTAAAATGGCTAGGCGAGGTGATGTTCCACATGTCGGTAGAGCAGGAATACAAATGTCTGAATGTATGTTAACAGGGCTCTGTCCGATATGGACTCGGACGGACGTTTAGGATCTGAGGAATTTGTGCTTGCAATGCACCTTTGCGATATCGCCAAAGCCGGTGAGAACATACCTACGACACTTCCACTGGATCTTATCCCGCCCTCATTTAGACGGCAGCGTCTAAGCAGTCTAACTCTCTCTCAAAACGCGACGGAAAATATTGATCCGTTAGCAGGCATGCCACAGGTATAAAGTTAATACAAGAATATCTCTTTACGTGGAAAGAAATAGAAGACAAAAAAAAAGATACGTTTTTACAGACCTCATTTGAAGATAAACGTAAAGAGAACTTCGAGAAAGGTCAAGCGGAATTGGAGCGTAGGCGTAAAGCGTTGCTGGAGATTCAGCGAAAGGAGCAGGAAGAGCGGGAACGCAAAGAAAGAGAGGAGGCCGAGAAACAAGAGAAAATAAGGCAAGTAAAATTATTTATTAATTAGATGCATAGAAAAACACCGGTTTTTTTTACGACACAGACTGGAGCAAGAAAGACGCAGGCAAGCAGAAATTGAAAAACAAATGCAGAGGCAAAAGGAAATCGAAGAGGAGAAAGAGGAACAGCGGAAACGTGCGCAAGAACAAAAAGAAGCAGCACGAAAGTAAATTTACTAACATCATAATTGAAGAAAGCATCGTAATGTACATGCAGATTCAAAAGTAACATTGTTTTATGTCATATAGGGAAATGGAGAGACAACGACAATTAGAATGGGAGCGACAAAAGTCACAAGAATTGCAAGCTCAGAGGCAAAAAGAGCAAGACGTTCTTCTCAAATTGAAAGCGAAAAATCAGACGTTGACCATCGAACTCGGAACGCTTGTAAGTACATCGAAAGGGAGCGATTTAATGGATCTATTTTCATGTTTCTCTCTATTTTTCAGAACGACAAAGTGAAGGAATTGTCGCAAAAGATTTGCGATACTCGAGTGGGTGTCTCGGGCGTCAAAACGACCATCGACGGCATGAGATCGACGAGAGATACGCAATTGCAAGAAATGTCCGCGTTAAAAAATAAACTCCGGGAACAAAATCAGAGATTATTAGCTCTGAGTCAAGAGAAGGCGCGTATTGAGGCGAGAAATAAAATCAATGCGGCCCAAGATGCAGCCGGGCAGGAAGCTATTAAAATGGCCTTTGACAATAAACAAATTACTCTTAAGCAACTGAAAGATAAAATTGCAGATTTACAACAGCAGGTACGGCATGCATGCTAAACATTCGCCGGTTTCGCAAATCTATATAAAACTTTAGCAATATCGGTACTTTATCTTGGAACATATTTTTCGGCAGATCGACTCGAAAATGTCGGATATTCAGAACAATAATGCACAGCTCGAAGACATTAAGACGCAAATAAAAAATCTGGTAACGGACTGTAAGCAACTGTATGTTAGTTTTGACGACAAGAAGAAGAAGGTGATCGAACTCCGAGCAAGCAGCGGCAACGCCGACTTTGCCGCATCCGCGTGGGGCGATAGCGCTTGGGACACTGCACCTGCGAGCGACGCGGCTTGGCCTGTCAATGATGACACTGAGACTGAAACTGCCGTTCCAGGCGTCCGCAAATACAGAGCCCTTTACGAATTTGTGGCGCGGAACCAAGACGAAATCTCATTTCAACCTGGCGATATTATACTGGTATTATAAAAAAAACAAAAGATTATCATTGTTGAAAAAGCGATTCAGTCTGGAAAAAAATATTTAACATGGTGTTTGGATTGTGCTGCAGGTACCACCTGTGCAAAACGCCGAACCGGGCTGGATGGCCGGGGAAATTCGCGGTCACACTGGCTGGTTTCCGGAATCTTACGTGGAGCCAGTCGACACTGGCACAACTGTCTTGGACAACGAACGTACCTTCATACAGCAAGACAGCGTGGAGAAGAGAACATTAGAGTGAGTTATTTTTATCAGCAATATATTAGAAACTTTTTTTCTCTCTGTTGCTTTATTCTTGAATGTTTTATCTCGATTGCGCAGAGGAATAGCGGAAGTTCCCGAGAACGTATCCGACGCGGGATCATTAGGCGGAGAAGCTCCGGTGGTGGAGGCTATTATACCTACTTTAGGATTAGGCACATCTTGCGACATACAGGCCACCACTTTGTTTCCATACCGACCTACTATGGAGCAACATCTTTCCTTCGAAAAAGGAGAGACTGTCCAAGTTTCTGAGCAGCAGGTTATTAATTATATTAATTAGATTAGTCGCGCGAAGGGAGACCACGCCTATTTTACAAATCGAAATTATTTTATTCAGAGTGACTGGTGGTATGGTTCGAATAGCATTGGAAGTAACGGTTGGTTCCCCAAGTCGTACGTGAAAGAGATTACTGCGAGCAACCAAGAGATCGCCGCTGATGGTCTTAATGAATATTACGTCGCACTTTATCGATACGACTCGGCCGAAACCGGTGATCTCAACTTTAATCAAGGAGAAGTTATATTGATCACGAAGAAAGAAGGCGATTGGTGGACCGGTTGCATAGGGGACAAAAGTGGAATTTTTCCATCTAATTATGTAGAGAAATGCGACGCTCCCAGTCAGGTATGATATAAAATTGATAGACGTCCTTGTCTATTTTTATAGCTAAAAAGTTTTAATTAGTAATTGCTTATTGATTCGATAAGATCACATTTCCTTTTCATTTTTCACTAATTATATTTTTAACTATTTTGTTACTAATAATTTTTACTAATGTCTGAGAGAGTTTCTAATATAAATTTGTGTGATATGAATCAGACTGCAGCTTTAGCTACTAACATTCCTGCATCCAGCGTTGAACCTGCGGAAACGAAAACCACGGAACCTGTTACTCCAGCAACCACATCACAAGTACGTAATCGTTGATTATTTTTGATTTATGATTATTGATTGATTTAATTGCAATTTGATTCACTCATTGTTATTCTTGGTATCTAACAATGATACCGCGATAAGCTGGAATGATATAGAGTGTGCGTGTGTATTTAGGAGGTAGAAAAAACGGCAGAACAGTTGGAAGATGAAAGAGCAGCTGCCGAGGATAGAGCGGAATTACCGGACTTTACTGCTATGGCGGCTCAGCAGGTAAAAAGACGTATTAATCGCTTTTTAATACATTTGTATAATCAATGTTTTTTCTATTACAAGAGTAATTGCTTATATTATGCTTCTTTTATGCCGACATCCTGATAATGCAGTATTACAAGGTATTTGATTTAAATTACTTCAATTATGGCCGATATTCGATGATTATGACATCATCTCAAATTGCAAAAAGTTCTCTATATATTGAGAAACTAATTTTATTTACGAGAAACGTCTTTCTTTTCCAGAGAGGAAGAAAACCAGAAATTGTCCAGGTTATTGCACCCTATCAAGCAACTAGTGCAGAGCAATTAGATTTGCAAAGAGGACAATTAATAATGATTCGCAAAAAAACTGACAGTGGTTGGTGGGAAGGAGAGCTGCAGGTAAAGAAATACATTTTTGCTTAGTATTTTACATAATTATAATGTATAATATAAATAATAATACAATAGTATAAATATATAGCTCTTTTTCTTATTAAAATAATATTCTTGAAAACAACAAGCTGATAGAGCAGGAGCTAGTTATAATTGCTCAAATTTTCCTTTTATTATAAAATAATTACAAAAACAGACGTTTCGGCCTAAAGAACGTGGCCATCTTCTATAAATAATAATAATATCGCGTTGTTCATTCAGGCGCGTGGTAAAAAGAGACAAGTCGGTTGGTTCCCAGCGACCTATGTTAAACCCTTAACCAGTAGCAGTAATAGAAGTACACCTGTCTCTCATGGATACCAAGATTCTCCAACGGATCCAAATATTGGTAAATAAATTCTATAAGCTATAGGTCTTTTTTTTTTTCAAAATTTATGCGTCAATCCACAGTTTTTCACACAGGACTGATCTAATGCAAATTTTCTTCATTTCTAGAACGCGTTATGGCTCTGTATCCTTATCAGGCACAAAACGAAGATGAATTGAGCTTCGAGAAAGGTGATGTTATATCAGTACTTGCTAAGGAAGAAGCTTCTTGGTGGAGAGGCGAATTGAACGGTGTATCTGGCGTCTTCCCAAGCAACTACGTTTCGCCTATGTGTAAGTATACCTTTCATACATGATTATCGAAGTTGAATCCTGTGACCATTTTATGTCTTTTAACGACTGTCACTAAAGTCCTAATGTATAAACAATTATGTACTATAATGCTAATTTATATTAAATTTCTTTACATACTGATTGCGAGCGCGTGTATAGATATAATTCAACAAATAGTAAAGGAGAAAAAAATGAAAGTAAATGTATTAGAAATGCGAAATATATAACTTGGTTACGGATAGGCGGACGATCGTCAGATATAATGAGTTCCAATTAATATATTTTTCTTTCATCGTTATTGTTATTATTTTCATTATTATTATTATCGACATCATTACATCGTCATCATCATCATTTTGTCATCATCAATATCATTTTCATCAACATCATCATTCTTGTCATCGTCATTATCATCATGATTATTATTATCATTATGATTATTGTTATATCATTATTATTATTATTATTTTGTTATGTTATCATCTTTACTTATTCTGCCTTCGACTTTATAGTAACTCGCAAAATAAGTGAAGATGGAGTGCATTATTATAATTATTATGCTAGTGGTAACATTATTATAGGTGAATAGTTTATAAGAGATGTTTAAAAGTATAGGATATAGCATCTTTTCTTCTGGATTAATATATGAACTGTTATATAAATAGAGCGTTGGCAGAGTATAAAATCTTTATAAGTTTTATGTAGTCTAGTATATATTCAAGAATATATTTTTCCATCAGTTACAAACCTTGTCTGAGTTAATGATATCATTGAAAGAATTTTTTAATGTAAGTTTTTGCAACTGGAGTAATTAGTTTAACACTGTTTCGCAATTTTGAAAATTTATACGAAGATATGCGTTTGATTGTCATCTAACAAAGTGTGTTTGCACTCACAAGTGTGATACAATTGGCATTAACTTCATTCTTTCGTTTAATATCTATACGCATTGTGTACGGCTTGGTTACTGACATATCACGAGATCGCTCACGCATTTCTCGCTTGCGATTTACATTAGAAATGGAAATGGAAACAGACGCGGATCAAACATCAGTTTGTATAACAGCCTGCCTGTCTGCCTTGCATGTCTGCCCATTCGTTCGTCCGTCCGTCTCTCCGTAAGAGGTAGCCGTTTCCTTGATATAACAATTAACAATGATAACAACTTGCCGTGATCGATTGTATTGTAGCCTGCGATCTTATTATTCGTATCTAACAATGTAAAGTAGATTATTGTTATAATTGATCTTCTCATGTGAAAGTTACTTCATTATTTCACAATGGCTATCACAATTTTGCACAATACTGGAATGCGCTGAAGATAAGAATTTCATTTTAGTAGAACTCTCGTTCGATTTGTTTTCAAGTTTTATGAAGAAGAAAACTTATGAGACACTTTGCATAACTCCATGATTCTCGAATGAAAATTTTAATGCGTTGCAATTAGAAAGAATGCTTTGAAGAGACAGCTGCCTCGAAAGTTTCTATCATTAGTCTTTAATATGCGCATTCTGTAATCTCCTTTTTATTAATTATTATCTTTCGCTTTTGCTTAACACGCAGCATAAAGGGTAGCCGAGCAGCAGTACAGCATTGTTGGTTAAAATTAAAGCACCTGAAGTGTAATAAGAACAATAGCAGCCCCTACATTCAGCATGGTGTGCTACAACAGAAGTCTCAACGTTGGAGACTGTGTGCAAAAACAAACAAAAAAAAAAAAATCGAAAATGTGATTATTCGGAAAAAGACAAAAACGAGGTGGGGAGGGAAAGGAGAAACAGAGAAAGAGATAGAGAGAGAAAGAGGTAGAACGAGAAACGAAGAATTAATACGAGACAATGAAAAAAGAAAAAGAAAAAAAAAGATGAAAGAGATTAAGGGCAGGGAGAAAGACTCAGGGTTGGTTCTTCGTCTCTATACTTATAGCCTCTACTTATTATATATTATACAAGCCTTTCCCTCTGGTGCGGGGTTGCACTCATTCCTTCATTAGTGTTATCATTCAAATTGTTATCATGGGTCACGACATTTAGCCTTTAACTGTTTTACATTTTCAAAACGATTTTCGCGCAGATGTTGCCTAGAAACAACACTCGCGTATACCAAGTCCGATCGTTGAATCATTTCATTAGTGTTACGACCACCTGATATATCTGCACCAACACCAAAGGTCTACCTCAGTTCTCTATCTAAACGCTGATGTACAATTAAGAAACGATAATATTAAATTTTTAGCTTATCCGTGTTAGAAGTATTTAAACATTATGTCGCGATATGAGTACCATTGTTACTTAATATTTAAGTAATTCGTTAAGTTCACATGTGGAATACGTACTGCATTTCGTGTTCACGTGCAATTTACATATAAATTCGATTCGATTATGTTTTAAGAGTTTTATTTTAAGGATTCTGGGTTTATAAGAGTGTCGAAGAGAGAATTATGAAAGAAATGTTTTTTTTTTTAACTATATTTATTTATATAAAAAGTACTGCTTACTTGTCGAGGGAAGAAAAAGGCCAAGTGCTTTTCGAATCGGTCTTTCGTTTCGTTTCCCTCAATTCGGTGGTCGATCAAAATTTACGTAGACGATCGTCCCTTAGAAGTTTCAAGCGACCATTATGTGTTTTTATTATTTCCTTCATCTATGGTGTAATGCTTACATTAATCATAGTTGCGTAAAATAGAAGTGGCCATTGAAAATGCTATCGCGATTGCGTTATGTTTTATCCTTTTATCAGCGTTAATGTATGGTGCGCATTACAGATCGTGAAAAAATCGCAATTGTCTCGTGCCGAGGCCTAAAAGGTGTGTAAAGGATGTGTGACGATCTCATGAATCAAATAGCTAATGATTCGCTGTTGTGAACGAAAGCGATTTAAGAGAAGAAGCAGCTCAAATAACATCTTGTGTAAAATTTCCTTTTAACAACAATGTACGGCTTGTTACGTTTAAGTGAAATTAGCAAACATCCATACTGCACAAACGCGTTTTGTTCATCAACATTTAGTGAAGCAAAGCGATTTGATTGCGCTATAAATTCGACGCGATTTCATCGATCTGCCGTTTGATTGCTAATCACTCATTACGCGCAATAGAATAACAAGTACATCGCTGTAAATAACGGAAGATTAGGGACGATGCGCTCCTTCTTCGCAGCCTTTTACGATAGAGCCTAAATAAATAGCACTCGTACATGAACAATAAATACCGAGGATCACCGAATACTTGAACTAAAAGTAAACGATAGTGTGTTGATTCACCGAGTAACGTTATCTAATTGTAAATTAGTTTTTCCATTGACATTCACATTCCTATATGTGTATCGAACGACTGACTGCACAGTTTCTTTCACGAATTGTAATCGACGGTCAGCGTCTTGTTCGTACTGTAATGTACTGTATTTATTAGCTCGTTAACATGCAGCGCTTCGTTACAAAGAATTTATTACATTAAAAGATATATATATTCAAATGTTTATTGTTTCCAAAAGTTATCCATGCAAAACCGCATTAGCTTGTCAACGCATCCAATTTGGTATATACATACACATGTACACACACACAGTTATGAAGCTTTGATATACTCGTATGCAAAGAGTTCGACGTTTCACGAACGTTCGCGAACAGAATTCGGCTTCTTTAGAGATCTCCTCGAAGCTCCAACCGCTAAAACTACTTAGAAAAAAAGCAAGGACGGTACCAGCTGATTCCCCCACATATCGGCGAAAATACAAGCGCACAATGTATTTATTCCATTGCTATGCAACTTTTACGCGTTCTATGTAACCCTCCATGACAGAATCGAGTAAATACGTTATGTCACAGTGGCAATAATTGTGTGCTTAATAATAATTAGGTAACTCCAGACACCAGTTCCAGCATAACGTTATTCAAAGGTGGCGGCGGGATGTCTAAAGCAAGTTGTGCAACTGGTTACTCTTAGTCGATGTAGTCGTGTAGTAGCGTTATACTCCTAAGATTGTTACTATTTGCAAGTTGTTTGTTTATTCTAATATCAAATCTCATCGGAACAAGTCTCACTAGGGTACGATGTAATTTTTGGCGCGTAGTGAAGAGTGTTGTAAGAGAGTATGAAACTATTTCTGTGTGGCTATACGAATCTTGTTCACACTTTATATACATATAGAAGAATATTATATTGTGTTTCCACGCATATGTACGCCGATGTTCTTATACGTATGTAAACATATCCATATGCATATACGGATACGTTCGCATCTCACCGCTGAACGAAATAAAATATCTGTCTGTTGTAAAATTACTCTCGCATAGACGAGTCATATTTTATCCGATATTTATCGCTCATAAGCGACGCCTCCAAACCAATCGACGCTGCATCGACGCCGTACATTCTCTTCCTCTTCTCGGCGACAGGAAAAAAAAAAGGATTTGCTTATAGAAGAGATTGTGCGTTGCGTAGACAGAGCGCAATTGTCTCGCTTATGATGTTTCATTAAAACGTTATGTTTACTATTAAGGCACGTTATTTTCTCGAAAACAATCGCGCTATTTTCCCTACTTCAACGCGAAAGTCGAACTCAGAAGTAGGTAGTGCAAGTTAAGAGATAATTAATAACGGATTTTCACGCGGGGGAAACATTTTTTTGTATATATTTTATGTGTAGCGAGTGAATCGATGAACGATACAATGACGTGTCACAATCCCATGGAAAAAAAACGCCAGGAACATATCAAAGAGCTAATCATGACAGAAAAAGCCTATATAGAGGACATGAGACTAGTGCACGAGGTATACCTTTTATTTTTATTTTTAAATCATTTTATCTCTTAAATTTATTTCGTTTAATTATTTTCTCTTGTTTCAACTGCACACAATTTATATGCCAAGACTATTATAGCATGTGGTTCTCTTTTTCTCTTCACCTGTAAAAATCCTTTGCACCAGTTCAGAGTATATTTTTTCTTGAAAATATTGTGTCTATTAAAAAGAGATCTTTTCTCATCAGCGAAATGAGCACATTTTACATATGTGTGTATATTGCGAGTTTTAGGTTTTTGAAAAACCATTAATCGAAAGTTTAGTCTTGAGTGTCGACGAAGTAGAAAAAATATTTATCAATTGGAGAGATATTATTGCGTGTAATGATAACTTTTTAAGGTAATTCATTAATATACGTAACGAATTTATACCTTGTGCACGTATCGATGCCACTGAATCACACGGATCAATTTCTTGCAGGACTTTGAGGATAAGAAGGGATAACAGTTACGGCGGAGTAGTTAGAATGATTGGCGATATACTGTGCGAGAACGTAAGTGCACTTGCAAGTTCACGGCGAGAACCTCGTTCAAATTTATTCACACGATATTTGCATTTTGCACACAGATACCTAGGATGTCGGCTTACATAAGATTTTGCAGCTGCCAAATATCGGCCGCCGCGTATCTGCAACTCTTGACGGAAACTTCGCCGGAATTCATGCGAGTTGCTCAGGCATGCCAGCAGGATCCTCGCACGAAAGGGTTGCCGTTAAGCTCATTTTTAATTAAGCCGATGCAAAGGATAACGAAGTACCCGCTTATCATCGGCAAGGTATCCGCTTCTATCTGTACGTTCATTAATAACTAACATCGTGTGTACGTAAAACGGTTGTTATAGATCTTGGAGTATACGCCAATCGATCATCCCGACAGGCAGTATCTGCAGGAAGCGTTGGCTAAGTCCGAGGAGTTTTGCACGCAGGTAAAAATAGCGACGGTATAACGCGTGCGAGATGACGCGCGCACTTTAAATTTTTAGCGCGATTTTAGGAGAGTAAAATAATTTGTTTCAATAATACTGCGTATATTATTTTATTATCTAATTATTTTTGTATTGCGTAGGTGAACGAAGGAGTTAGAGAGAAAGAAAATAGCGACAGATTGGAGTGGCTGCAGACCCATGTGGTATGCGACGGTCTTGAAGAGCAACTCGTCTTCAATTCCTTGACAAATTCTTTGGGACCGCGAAAACTATTGCACTACGGCATACTTCACAAGGTAGTGAACATTCTACAAGAATGGCACGTAGATTTCTGTCACATTTCTTGTGATCTTATACCGTAATTTTGTTTTCGCAGGCAAAAAGTGGCAAGGAACTCGTCGGTTTTCTCACAAACGATTTTCTGCTGTTCGTGCAACCGATGAAGTCTTTAAATTGCCAACAATTTTCCTTTGAACGCAACGAATATCAAAAGTTTAAGATGTACAGGAAGGTAATATTAATGAAGCTTGAAAAAATCGCTAAAGAAAATTCGATAGAGCTTTAACAAAAAAGTTGACCGTTACAGCCGATATTTCTCAACGAATTGTCGTTTTTCGGAGAAAACGACGGAAGTAGCAGTTTAAGCGGAAATGACACGGCGGACAACTCATCGAAAACACTAAGACTGAGAGATCAAAAGAAGCCAATAATATTATTGGCATCAACCTCGACTGAATGCTCACTATGGTCGAAACGAATCGCGGAAGCACGCTGGAAATTTGTTGAGAACGAGAAGACTCGTCTGCAGAGACAGCGGTCAAGTGCGTTCAATTGTCATAATAATTATTCGAGTATCGAATATCGTTTATTCTCGTGTTTTCTACAAGTTTTCGTTGCTTTCCGTTATTTTTGTAAGCGGATGATGCTTCCATTATTTCGTACGCATCACCGAGCTTATGTGTTTACTTAAAATTTTCGTATCAATTTTTACAATTTAAAATCATGTTATACAATAAATATGATATTCAATAATGAGTCACGGTTTATGTGGGTGAACAGAGCAGGCGCAATTTCGGGCATGCGGCAGAATTCTCGTCACTGTGTTCGAAGGTTTCAACTTGAAAACTCCATCCGGTAAGAATCCGCACAATGCCTCCGATCGCTTACTTCATTGCTTGTCCGAAATATCGTATTGTGTTAAAGCTGATGTTTTGCATGCTAGTTGCTTTTCAACGCTTTTTTTCATTTTTGCAATCTGAGGAGTAGTTTTAAAATCATATTAAAGCAATGACACACATACACATGCACAAAGGTAATCATGTCCATCGGAAGAGGAACAGGCAAACTAGCAAAAATGGGCAGGAAACATATCTTCCAAACATAATGTTATAATTGCATGCAGCGCTTTTTTACTAACAAAAAATTTGCCATTGTAGTTCGCAGGAAACCTTCCCAAGGTACGCTACGACTAGTAATTATGGAAGCTGAAAATCTTGTCACTAGCAGAGGTATAGTATTGAGATTACACTTTACAAACAGCTTTGAATAACTACATTCGTATTTCATTGAATGCGTAAAATCATAGATCAATTTTAATCGAGCTTGTAAATAGATTCTATTGCACCAATCTTCACACTTTTATTGCACGATTTTCTCATTTTTAACATTTTTTCAGCCTCAAACTAAATCTGTTTCATCTATTTTTAGTTGTTTTAAAAGAGATATTGTTTAGAGAGATTATCATTGAAATTCAATTGCTAAAATATTGCAATTTTACGGGAAAAAAAAGATTAAGCTTTATAAGCTGAAAAATTCGTAGCTGGGAGTGCATGCATTATATTTGGGACAGCTTGGATGTTGTATAGTGCTTGGGGCATAGAATTACTAACGCTTGGTAGAAAGAGAAAATATATTTTTATATCTTTTCCGCTACTAGAGGAAACGCTCACATACACATGTAGGTACTTATTCCTTTCTAGGAAAGTGTAATACATTCTGCAAAGTGTCTATGGGCTCCCAAGAAGAAAGAACCAGCGTCGTATCCGGCGCTGATTGTCCTTTGTGGGATACTTCGATGCAGTTCCAAGTACAGGATCTACTCGAGGATACGCTTTGCATCACCGTGTTCGATAAAGGATACTACAGTCCTGATGGTGAGCTTTACATATGATTCTTATTGTTGAATTTTACATATATTAATGATCCGCTAAATTAACTTCTAATTAATACTAACGCGTCGCATGTCGTTAACGCAGAATTCCTTGGTCGCGCCGAGGTCAGAGTGGTCGACATAATGAGAGACAGTAAGGATTCTTGCGGACCGATCCAAAAGAGGATTAAGTTGCATGAGGTTGAAAGCGGCGATGTCGTTCTCAAGCTCGACCTTCGGTTGTTTAACGGATAAAACGCGTGGGTGTTACAACTCCATATTCTGACATATCATACGCATTTATGTAAAAAAAATTAGATGTAAAGATTTTATATAAACTTAGCATAATATAGAAAGAACAATAAGAAATTAATAGTTTTCCTATCTTTCTCTTCCCTTATAATTAAAAAAAAAAAAAAAATTAAGATATGAATAAGTGTCGGACGCTCTAACTTCTGCATGCATACATGAGAAAAAAAATGGTGAAAGTTCGACTCTACTTCATATCGCGACGTTTCTTATATAATAAACGTGAAAAAAAATGGATAGGACAGTCTTTCGTCGTTCGAGCTGATTCTACTACGAATCTTTCCATCTAGCACGCTGCAAGGACATTTCGCTTTTCATTGTCTTCGTTACGTGTGCACATTTCGCTCTCGCTTTCCTACGATGCTTTCGTTTACATTTACGTGAGAAGGGTAATGATAAGCGCGAGCGAAATGTCGAGACAGCAAGACTCGAAAGGAAACAAACGAACGTTTTTAATATCTTTCGTAAGTTTATCTTTTAGCGGGCGCAGACGGCAACTTCTTGGCGTGTCTCGGCATGTTCAGTTCGGTGTCGGTTTGCTCGGCGACGTCGCGCTGCTCCGTGTCCTCCGTGGGAAACTGATAGATCGGTTTGAATCCGCCGAAGAGCTGCGGCTTGAAGTTATCGGCGTCGAACTCGTTCTTCTCGGTCTGCGTATCGGCGTCCGGATCGCCGTCGCCGTCGCCGTTCGATTTCCTCTCTATTCCCGCGGGCGGATCGACGACGACGACGCTCCAGCCGTTCTTGCTGGGCGCCTCGGCGCTTATGCTCGCCACGAACGGCGCCATAAAGTTTTGCGGCGCCGGTGCCGAGCTGGACGAGCTGGACGGCTGTTGAGACGGCAGCAGCACCGTCTGCTTCGCGTCGACGGCAGCGTTCGCGTCGTTCTCCAGGTCGTCGTAATCAGGACGATGCGCCGCTTGCGTCGGCGTGTAAACGTAGGCGATCGGCGTCGAGGTGGACGTCGGCGCGGTCGGCGTCGACGTCGCGGTCGGCGCGTTGCGATGCAGCGTCACGGAGATCGCCGCGTCGTTCTTCTTCCGATACGGCAAGAACTGATCCTGCAAGTACGGAATCACGTTCACCTGCTCGTTCACGTCCTGCTCGATCTTCTCCCGCTCGCTCGCCGCCGCCGCCGCCGCGGCGGAAACTTGCTGCCGCTGTTCGCTGGGCACCAACACCGGCGTCTCCTTCACACCGGCGGCGGGGAAGACGGACGACGGATCGGGGCGTTCCAGGAGATACGGGAAGTCTGCGGCAACCGGTTTGCCGTTGTAAATAGCGTGCGTCTCCTCCCGCTCGTCCTGGAGCAGCGTGTCGGGTGGCAACGGTCGCTGAGGACCTCGCGTGCCAACGACGACGCTACCGTCCTTCTCGCTGGAATCATCCGGATCTATGTTCACCGCGGTGTTAACCGGATACACAACGTACACGGGCTGCTCGGCCGTCTCCGGCGAATCGTGATCGTCCGACTTTCTGCGCTCCATTTCGTGCGTTAGCACAGTTTCCGCTGCTTGGGCGGCTTCTTCGCTCTCGTCGTTGAGCTCGCCGTGATGCTGCAGCATCTGCAGAGTCGTGACGCGCGGCGAATCCGCCGTTCTGAGTTTCGGGAAGAGCGGCGGCCTCGGCGGCGTCATCGGCGGCTCCTCCGGATATCTCTCCGAGTTCTCGAGCTGCTCGAGCTCGCTCTTCACCCGGTCCTCCTTCCGGTTTTCACCCTCGACGCCACCGTTGCGCTCCTCGGGACCGTGACTGAATAATCTGTTCGACAGCATGTTCTCCTCCGGATTGCCGTGCGAAATCACGGGCGGCGCTCCGTGCGGAGGACGTGCGGGGGATACGAATCTGCGTATCGCCGGTTCCGTTTCGTGAGACGGAACGACGCCGTCCACCTTCGACGTCGGCGCGCCGAATGGCAGTCGGACCGCGTGAATCGGCGGCGGCGGCGGATTTAAGCGCTGAAGATACGAAGGCGCCGGCGGGAAGGGCCTGCGCGACGCCGGATGACCCGGCAACGGCGGATGACTCTGCACCGGCTGTCTGATCCTCGTCGGCGGACCGGCCGACATCGTGCCGATCGCGTCCGGACCGCGATGGCCGTGCGACGCCTTCGCGTTGGGACGGAACTGCGGCAGGATGTTGGGCAGCTTCGTGTCCGGCGAGTACGGGCGTTTCCTCAGCGCCGGGTCCAGCGGCGACACCGGCAGCCCCGGGTGCGGCTTGACGCGCGACGGCAACGGCAGTCTCGGCCTCGGGTGATCCGGGCGCGAGGTGTCGTACTGATAGTGATAGTAATACTGCGGCGGCCTCGTGCTCTCCGCGGGCGGCATTAGATCCTGGGCGAGCTGCGGCAGATCCTCGCCAACGGTGGGAAAAGCGAGCTTCGTGCCGTTCGCCGTCGCCGTCGTCTTGGGCGGCAATTCGCGAATGCTGCCGTCCGCTTCGTTTATGATCACGACGTGCTCCTCCGTCAACGCGTCCTTGTTCTTCGTCTCGTCGTCCGGAAAGATGACGTAGTCGGAATCCTTGTTTCCCTGCGGACTGTACTGCGCTGTGTCCGCGGGAGGGACAGCGGGATTCGGAGACCTTGTCGGATCGAGCTCGCTGCTGCCCTTCAGGGCGCCGGATGTAGGCGAGGGCCATTTCTGCGTGACGCTCGGCTTTGTGACCGGCGAGTGCTCGTACTGACTTCGCTCACCGAGCCGTGCTGATCGTTGCGGAGCGGCCAGAACGAGATGTCGGCCGAAGTGCCGAAAAGATTCTCGCCGACGGCCGTTCCGACCGAGTGGTAGCTGCCCTCGACATTCTGACGATTTCCCAGGACGAAGGACACGGTATTTTGATCGGGCGGGATTACGATGTTACTCGTACTTTCTATCGGAATCCCCACTCCGATCCTGTCCGCCTCCGGTTTGATCATCGGACCCGGTCTGTATACGTGATTGATTATGCCGTCGTGACGCTCCGGTAAGCTCGGTCTTCGATCGTTGTGCAAAGAAGCGGCCGGATATTGCGGTATCGTCGAGAATTGCAGTGGCTTGCCCACGTTTTCATGAGGCGCAGGCGGCGTGGAGGATCGCGAGGGTAACTGCGGCGCAGCCGTGGTAGTTGTCGATGCTGTAGATCCAGTTGACGACGCGACAGTTGTCGTAGTCGTGGTTGTAGTTGTAGTCGTCGACGCCGTCGGACGGGAACTAGTTGTGGAGGATGTCGACGTAACGTTCTCCTTCAACAGTTCTTGGAACGGTAAGAAGTAATCAATCACTTTGCTGTCGTCGCTGCTGTCGCCATCGCCGTCGCCCTTGTCCTCCTCCTCGCTGCTCGACAAGTCGTAAATATCGTAGGAATATTCGTCGGTTTGCGCCGGTGGTTTCGTCTCGGGTCTCGCGTGAGACACGACGAAGTTATCGAGACTCGGTTGCGCCTTCTGCGTCGTCGTGCCGTCGCTCGGCGGCCGCGTCGGCACGTGGCTCTGATTTCGCTGCGATGCCGCTTGACCGGAGGCGTGCAATTTCTCTATCGGCAGAAGATTCTTCTCGTTCTCCATCTCGGCGACCGTGCGGTCGATCGCGTGGAACGCGATCGGCGTGCTGGTCGGTTTCCACGTGGTTATCGCGGGCGTTTTGGTGGCCCGCGTGTTCGCGGTCGTCGACGGCGCGGAGGTCGTGATCGTCGGCGGGCTCGTGGTCCATCTCGCGTTCAAATCACCGGCAGTCGTAGTCTTGTGCGTGCTCGTTTTCATCATCGACAAGTAGGGATTCCTAGTGGGACGCGCGTACAAGACATCATTCTCGGCGTCGAGTCTGTGATTGTAGCTGTTGGCGCCGCTCTGCACCTTCGTGTTCGCGTACGAGCTCGAGATCAACGGGTACTGGTATTTGTCCGAGGTATAGTGAGTGGGCAGGAAGTAGTGCGACTGCGTGATCTCGTTGCGACGGACGTCGTCATGATCTTTGCTCTTCGTCCTTTCCTGCCCCGCGTCCTCCCTGCCGCCGTCTCCGTCTTCCGAATCATCTTGTCCCTCGCGATGACCGTCGGTGTGGTTGAGAGGTTTGACGAGCGGCGTCTTTTCGAAGTCGATTTTGCCAGTTATCGGGTCCTTCTCCAAGGAGAACGGCTTGCCTCCGTTGAAAGCGAAAGAATACGGAATATGGTAACGCGGAGCGTCCCCCTCGCCGTCGCTCAAAGCTGAGGACTTTGCGCTAGCGTCAGCGACAGCGACAGCGGCAACGGTGCTCTCCTCCGCCACGAGATCCTGATCGTCCAGATGTGTATTACGTGGACTCTTCGATCCGGCATTGTTGTCCAGGTGGCCGCCCATCAAATATTCGCCTGACACGCATGCCAGAGCAGCGAGCAGCATCCACAGGAGTCTCCGCATCTCTTACATATGATGCCTGAAAAAGATTGCTCATTATCATTGGACTTTCCATCGATTCAGATATCTAAAGTTTAATTTAAGATGTAATGCAAGATGTTTTTAAATGAGTTGAATATAGATTCTTCCAATCAATCGTATTAAAAGAATTTGATCATGAAGAGCCAAGCGTTTGTTGCAGAAGAATAAATTATAAATTAATAAATTTATTCTCTCGCATTAATAAACGCGATGGTTCTTAATTGTCAAATTTCCTTAGTATAATGAATAGTTTTAGATGCTAATCAACTAACAGTAATAGAAGAAGATTTATATCCTTCTGAATAATATAATAAAAACTTTTAGAAAGATTTGTAAAAGTTCTCGCATCATTTAGTTACTAAACTTCATTTTTATGAAATCTTCCGTAATCATCCGCTTACGGTTTACGCGATAGCGCTTATCTAAATTTTTTATGCGGGTAATGTAAAAGCAGAGCGCGCGAAAAAGGCAACTTTTCTTTATTTATTTAGCGGTTTAAATGATCCAATATCCCAGGTATGTCGATTCGCGAATAATGGCCGGAAATGTTACTGTAAACGCGTCATCTCGCGCGCGGTGAGTAACATAATAATGCGTCGCTAGATGAGATGCTAATTGTCAGGCCGTTATTCGTAAGTTCCGTTCGACCGAAGCCGCTCGCGCGAGATAGAAATGAACGATAAATACACGCACAGCGTCGTGCGAATTTATTTTCGGACGAAATTTATGCAAATTTACACACCAACGTGGGTATTACAAATTTGTAGAGCGGGCAAGTTATATCAGGTGGAATTCCGTTTCGATGTATAACGGGGTTTTAGTAGCCTCTCTCTTCTCTCACTCTTCGTCTTCCGGCATCGTCTTCTTACTTTTCTCTTTCTACGTGCATAAATCCCGTCCCGTATAAATTTTTCCTAAGCCTCTTTATAGCTTTGATAATCCCATTTGATTTTAATATTCAGGTCGAATAACGTTCGCGCGATGATGCGCGTCGGCCCGTAGAAGTCATCTGGCGCCGCATTTACCATTCATAACGCACGACCGTGACGTTCACGATCACGGTCGTGACCCGATGTGTCGGTATTCTCTTACGCGGTGAGTGGGATGCGCCAGGTGATGCTGGTCAGTATGTCCTACTTTGTTCCCTGTTTCGGTGCTTTGACCCCGAATTGTGTAACTTCAGTTTCAAATGTACATCACTTATCTTACGCGCGCGATTCTTTTCTTCTGGATTCACGAGGCGGCACGAGAGATAAAATGTGCATGCAAATTTTGAAGATCTTTTTTTTTTTTTTCTAAACGATAAATTTTGCATAGCAGTCTTTAATAATCAAGCTCGTGATGCAAAATTTTGATTACATACATTCTTAATCGCGATCGTAAATTGTTTCATAAATATTAATGTTCATAATTTGGTTAATTTAATGCCGTTTTATCTAGACGTTTGACAAATTTATTGTTGCATGAATAAATAAAATGCTTTGCTGCTAATTATGTAAATATGATAGACAATTTTTCACAATATAATATTCGTTATACCTTGATTACGTGGAAAAATAGTAGATCGTAGAGGCCTTTCTTTGAATTCCCGCAATATCTCGCGTTTCTACGGTTCACTGATCCATCGACGCGCGATATTTAAAGCAACATCCGATAGAACTTCACAATCGCGGCAAAAGTTCTGTGCGCGCTTTTTTTGCGATCAGCACGTCGAGGGTGAAAGATCGGAGCCGCGGGAGAGTGACGGTTTCGCAACCCTGGAAGAAGGTCGTATGACGACTGAACAGCCTTGTTGTCAGCACGGCGGGAAGAAGGCGAGGAGGTGGCAGGAGAAGGACACGCGGTGGAGGTATTCCTCGCTCCAAATGACCCGAAGAGTAGGAGAAGGCTGCAAACGAGGAAGCGGATGAAGCACTAGCTAAACTTGATGTCGAATGAAAGAAAAGAAAATGAAAATCTACATTCTTTTTTACTCGTAAAGTGAAGCTAATGTCGCGTGGAAGCAGAACGAGCAGTTCTAATAGTTTTTATAATGTTTCGTCTTTCTAATATTGATCGATATTGAAACGTTAATGAAGAGTAACAGAAAACTTAAAGAGCAAAATAAACAGAAAAGATAAAGAACGAAACAATTGTGTAAAAACGCTCGCCTGTAAAATCGAGATAACACGAAATTTGTTTGAACTGTAGACACGCCGCGACCGAGTTTCAGCTAAAAAATGTTTTAAATTCGAGCGAGAGATAAACGCGACATTGTCTCATACGAAAATTTATTATATTATTAAATTTATTATTTATTATATTATTATCAACGATACGATTAGTTGAATAGTTTCTAATACGGAAGAATCTCTCAAAGCATAGAGCGTAAAAAGATAGGGTGTGCATACACTGTTAAGCTCTCGTGATCACGCTAGTGTTACCGTACCACGTAACATGTAGCTGCAGGATATGGACATCATCGTGTAGGAGTCCGTTCGCTGCTCAAAGAGTCAGGGGCGGAGAACCGGTACGTAGAACAGTTAGACGATGACCCACATCGAGCGGAGGAGCCTCAACAGCGGCCGGCGTACCAGTTTCTTCGACCTTGCGCCACAACCAAGCGCCACACAAACGGACCCCGAAATTTTATGAGATTATTAGGACAATTCCTTTCCTGGAAAACAACGGGATTGATCACAGCCATCAGCTATTACGGAATCCAAAATAAAATATAATTATTTTAATTTAGAAATTTCTTCACGCAATTTCGGTCACTTGTTGAAGATCGAAGAAGTAAACAACTTTTTACTTTTTACTCGATATGTATATCTCAGTCTTTTGTATTAGTAATAAAACGAGAGTGATGCGGCACGCACACATTGTGAATTAAATTTATAAAAATATATCAAGATTAATATCTTATCATTTGACATCAAACGCGTGCATTGTCACGTACACGATAAAGCCGCGCTGCATGCGCACGTTAATTAATAATTAATCATTGCGTGTAATGCGCGTGCGCTCAAATTGCATCTGGCCAATATTCGGTCGCGCGAGCTTGTAAATTTCCCAGTCATCGTCTCGCGCTAATGTGTAAAGCTCACAAAGTGCATACAGTTAGCTATCGATGCTCTTTTGTACTTTATCTTCGTAAAAGATATCACTGAGTCGTCCGCTTCAGTTCGTTTGAAGTCGCAAGAAACACATCGCATCCACGATGCTGCGAATCGCGAGCGTAATATGCGTTTTGTGCGTTTTATTGAGCGATGCACGCAAATACAACCCGCAAATAAAGCGTGAATGGGAAGAATTCCAACAGTTTCTCGATTGGAAAAGAACAGTGAACAACGACATCGAATCTCTGGTACAGAGAATCGGATTCGACGAAGAGAAGAGCATTCAACTGAACAATGCCGAAGCTCTAAAGGATCCATTATTCGTGCCTAATCAAGACGCTTTGTTGGCCCGGAACGTCGTTAATCAGGCTGGTAATCAACGTGATACGTACTTTCCTCTTGTATTATGTATCACGCGCGTTATTCGTTCTGAAACATTTAATAAAGTTATTATTATATCATAAAAATTTTTTAGCAAGTAAATGAAATAATTTAGTACAATATTTCTACGCTCATAAAGCTGTAATGAGGAAGAGCGCTATTAATAGAAACTAATATATCTTTGAGTCTTCTATTTTTGTATATAAACGCATACGTGCTTCGTGTAAATATGCAGCATGTGTTTACATGTGCAAATTCCGTTTTACAATAATTAAAATTTAATTAGATGTACAATTTAAAAAGAAATTTTAGCACGTGAGTTAAACAGACATTCATCTATAAATTATATTATCATACCATATGTATGTTTCAAAGGCAATATACACAAAGTCCATTGTGTTACACTATAGTTTTTATCATCAAAATATATTTGTTGATCTCCTGCCAAACACGTTTGGCCAAATATCAACTTGCAAAATAATTCATACCAAATGTTGCATCGAACGTTGCAATAAATATAAAATAAATTTTGCTATTTAAAATAATATCAGAATACAAAAATTCGTCAAAGATAAAATTTGTAAAATGAGGTTTTATCGTTTTTCTTTGTATTTACTTCTTTTTAGAAAAGATTTAGAATTGTAATCGTTGTCTTTGTATATAATTAAAGTAAAGGATTTCTGTGTGTATATCATTAAAGCGATAAGTAAGGTCAATCTGATTCATTGTGTAAAGTCGAGCGCGATAATAATATGTACATTTAATCAATGTCAGCAATTTCTTTGTAACATTTAAAAATTCTCTGCAATTTTTTCTTTATAGATAATAAAATAAATGTCTCTCCCAGTTGCCGGATATGTCCCAATCTTTGATCATATATTAACAAAATAGTTATTAATTAATATTTATAAATATAAAAACAAAAATTAAATTAAAAAATATTGGTAAATTATTTTGTTAGAAAAAATTATATCTTTAACAATTAACTCTTAAATGTCCGACCACTGAAACACATATATATTAAATATATGTATGATTCAACTACTTCATAAAAAAGTACTTGAAATATTCTTGTAAACGTCAACGTATCGGACATCATTAATGCACTTGATTATTCCATGTTATATGCACTTAAATGGATTTATGTACCGGCAGATTGGGCAGCCGTAGCGACGATCAGCACGCGGAGGGACATCGAAACGTTTCCTGTTGCAAATTTAGTGTCCATCGGCGATGGACCTGTTGGAAACGGAACTGGAATACCATACATGTATCTCACTCCTCTTGATTTCACCGCTCAAGATGTTGCTGTAAGTAGACATCATGTGTTAATATCTGCTACACATTGTACAATATGATTAAAGTTTGACAAAAATGAGATTGATATTTCGTGCATTATGCCAAGACAAAATTTTGTAACAATCGGTCTGATAATATAGTATAAATTTTTAACAGGTATCTTTTCATAAGATAAGATAATTAACAAAATTGTTTGACGAATAATATTGTTAATGTAGCATTTTGAGCTAATATTGTGCGAGATATGTCAGCGATATTTAAAACTACGTGTCAATAATTGCTGAATGTCATATTCAAGAAGGCACTTCTCTTAAGAAAACATTTTATCACATATTATTAATTGAAGTTGAAGTGATCTTTCTTGCAATATCAAATCAACTTTTTTATCAACAGAAGAGGGGCTTAAGATTTTATCATACGCGAAATAATGACATTGATCTTTTATATCAATATAAAATATTAAATTTGATATCGATTTCAGATATCAAATTAATATTAATTTAATTATTTTGTTGTATCTTAAACCTCCTCCTTTATTGATAAGAAAATTAATTTTACGAGAAATATTTTTCAACTGCTGACTTTTTCATATTGATAAAATATTTTATTTATTTATTGTATTAAAATATTTCAATTTCTTGAATACTTGTATAATTGCATGAATGTTTGGTAATTACAGAAGGATCATCGCGCGACTCTTTTAGTATCACTAGCCCAAGGAAGCTATTGTAAAGATAAAGAATTGGACCCTATGGATCCGCGATGTGCTAGAGTTATGCTAAGTGGAAAGATTAAAGCAGTCAGTAAATTGCTAAATTCTTATTGTAATTTTCACATTTAACCAATATTAATAATTTCAATATTTCAACAGGTAAAGAATACGACTGCGGAACATGAAGTTGCAAAAAAATTATTTTTCAATCGTCATCCAAAATTGGAAAATATGCCTAAAGGTAAGATCACATTTTTAATGATATTGTAAAAAAAGATTGTATTAAATTACATTGCATTATTTGTTCTATAGATCATGACTTCTTTATCGCCAAGTTAAAAATTGTATCAATCGCTTTGCTGCATACCTTTGGTGGACCAAAATACATTAGTGTACATGATTACTTCAATCCGACGCAAGAAAAAGGAATTATCAGCGAAAGAATACAACACATCTTAAAATAATGGCAAAGATAGTAAAGTAACTATTCAAAGCTATTAAGAAGCTGATTCTTTGTGCCTACTTATTCAATAGGCTGATTTTTAGAGGCTCTACAATCATAAGATGTCCTATAATTTATAGAAAAATTGTTGAATAAAATAATTGTAAATAACAATTTTACAAAATAAAATAATTTTTTGAGATAATTATTTACCACGTTTTTATTTTGTGTTGCTTTGTTCTTTTTTTCTTTATAATTTATAATATCCTTTATATTTTGTATATATCATAGCTGTAAAAAACGAAAGAAAAATTGTCTATGTAAATAAAAATAGAATTAGCGCAATATTGATATTCACAGTAAATTGACTAGAAATTAATAAACTTTTAAAACTATTATTTTACCGTTCCTTATTTAATTAATAGAACTTGTATCATTTTTATTCTTTTAATGTATTTTCTTCCTTTCTTTTTCTTTCATCTTTCAGCATTTTTCAGAAAAGATCTAACCATACTGTATATATTGATATACAGTATTGACATATGATTCATGACGGCAACGTCATAAAAAATTAGAAGTAAATATTCTTAATTAGTACTAGTTGATATGAAAAGCTGGCATTAGTGATGCCAGATTTGAAATGCAAGCAGCAAGCAGCATGAAGAATGTCGTTTTTTTATTTTTTTTAACGATTGGCATTTTGAATTTTGCAACAAAAAACTTTCCAAAAATTAAAAAAAAGACATTTTAATTATTTAAGTATTTACGAATATTCTAACACTGTTAAATTTGTTCTTATTTTTATTTCTCGAGAAATATTACAGATACGATCAAGGACCTCCGAAAACAGTAATACCATTAGGACATCTCAAGTGAACTGTACAAAATGACCTTATTGTTAAAGTAGAAATCGAACAATGCCTTATTTTGGCGCCAATTTATACAGAAAACAGATTGGAAAAATAGATTAAATATTTGGGAATATTTGTGACTATTTTGTATCTATTAAATTATCAGAAAATATAAAGGTTTCTAGTTTTGATTTAATTGTTAGCACAATTTAGTTTATAAAAATCTTTATTATGTATATTGTTGATACATTGTTGACATATTATATATATATGGTTTTGATATATATATATACATAATATTCCTAAGCATATTCTACCATCTGCCTCTACCTCCTCCTCGACCGCCACTTGAATTTCTATTGAATCCGCCGCCTCCTCCACGTCCTCTAGGTCCTCCACCACCAGGACCTCTATTACCAAAGCCTCCGCCTCCTCTACCAAAAGATCCTCTATTGCCACCTCTATTACCAAAGCCTCCACCTCCTCTTCCTCTTGGACCTCTTTTCGTAACTCTTCCAGCCGCACCTTTCCTCTGTTCCCCGGCAGGTTTCGGCAAAAACCTCTGAAGAGGGAGTAGTTTTGCTGGATCAATATATAACTGCAATCGATAAGTAATAATTAATGCATATGTATACAGATTCATATATAAATGCTATGATTAGAATATTATAGTACCTGAGTACCTGAGATATATTATAGTACCTGAGTATCCTTCTCAAAACTAGGAGCCTTTATATTTTCTGACAACTTAATAGATACAAAGTAATCACGAATATTCCCAAATATTTCATCTATTTTTCCAATCTGTTGTTTGTTTTCTGTATAAATTGGCGCGTTAAAATAAGGCACTTGTTCGATTTCTACTTTAGCAACGAGATCATCTTGTACAGACCACTTGAAATGTCCTAATGGTATTACTGTCTCCGGAGGTCCTTGATCGTATCTGTAATAAATATATAGAAAATAAATAAATAATACACATTAATGCAATTAATAATGTTGGTTGCATTGAAGTCTCTTAGAATTAAACCTAACCTAATCCAATCTTTACTTACGAAAATTTTATGGTAAGTAGTATTAATATTGATAAAATTACCCTCTGCCTTTATCAAAACCATCTCGTCCTCTAAATCCTCCACCACCTCGGCCACCTCTAAAGCCGCCGCCGCCTCTAAAACCGCCGCCGCCGCCTCTACCACCGCGTCCTCGAAAAGACATAACCTTTCACACCGGCTAATTGTTTATTAATAAATATATTTATCCGGCTAGAATAGAATTTATCATACAAAATACTTGGCAAATTATGTTATATCTCTATTTGCCTACTTTGATTTAAATTAAAGAAAGAAGTTAAAATATTTTTTTCCAGATGCGCTAAACCACCACGTGTTCTCTAGTGTTCACTACACGCTCCAACGTGCTCCATACAGCTCTGTGCTGTTGCGTCGTCTGCATCAGAGCTGCTAAATTCGTACCTTGCAACTTCGCAGTGTTCGCGGCGCGCAGAGCGTTTTGCGCATCGTGGTTTACGCTTGTGTGCGCGAAGCCGCAGTGTTCGAATCTAGCAGCTCTGGTTATGAAAAGAGGTCCAGGAGGAAGAGGTGGAGATTTTGGCAACAGAGGATCTTTTGGCAAAGGAGACGGAGGCTTTGGTAATAGAGGTCCTGGTGGTGGAGGATTTAAAAGACGTGGAGGAGGCGGTGGATTCGATAAAAATTCATGTGGCGGTTGAGGAGGAGGCAGAGGCAAATGGTAGAATATGTTTTAGGAATATTATATATGTATATATATCAACACTATATATATATATATATATATAATAAAGATTTTTATAAACCAAATTGTGCTAACAATTAAATCAAAACTAGAAGCCTTTATATTTTCTGATAACTTAATAGATACAAAATAATTCCAAATATTCCCAAATATTTCATCGATTTTTCCAATCTGTTGTTTGTTTCTGTATAAATTGGCTCATTAAAAAAAAACATCAGATAACGTAAATCAATCTTGATCGAATTTTATACATTTTCCGAGTTGTTTTTCTGCCCTTTTCAACAGTTTGTCACGTCCCCTGTGCTTTCTATCTTTTCTACTGAATTTTTCTTCTCGATCTCGTGCTATTTTATCCCAGTATCCCTTTTCTTCATCATCTAAAAAATTGAAATAGAAGATGCCATAAGTATGCCAATTACAATACATAAAATTTGAGATATTTACCTTTTAAAACCATCAAACGTCTTCCTTCGTAATCCTTTTGAGCAAAAGATTGTGCAGCTTCCGATGTATCGCATCTTACATAGGCTTCACAAGAGCCATGTGTTACATCTATATATTTTATAGAATTATTATCTCTCAACTCCATCTGAAATAAACGAAATGCATTAATACTTTATTTTAATAATACTTTCGATTAAAATATAATGTTTAATGTGTTAACAATTTTTTCTAATACCAATATACCTTGAAACTCTGCGGATCTGTGCAAGGTTCGTCCATTTCAATTTTTACTATAATTCCTGGTGCGTAACTAACACGCCCAGAAGATGAGTTTTCTGCCTCGTTAACTTTTCCGTTATCCTTTTCATGTTTGGATTTGTCATAATTATCCTTTTCATATTTGTATTTTTCATAATTCTGTCCAGCTTTATCATAATTCCATCTCTTTCTCATCATTCCTCCTCTTTCCACTTCAGCTTTTCTCAAATGCTGTTTTAATTGGGACATCTTGGTTCTTTGCAATTCCAAGTATCGATTTCTAAGATGCTTCCATTCCGGCTTTGCCATCACTTGTAATCCGATAGCATTATCAATATCCTCTTGAATTTTGCTCCTCTTTTTTCGATTTCTTTTCTTCTTTCTTTCATCACCGTCGAGTTCTTTTTCTTCGACATCACTTTTCATATTGACATTTGTCATCACGGAATGTTTTTCCGTTTGTAATGCAGCATCTGATTCATGTTCGCCATCGCTTTTACTTGAATATTCCGATTCTTTTCCTTTATTTTTACTTGACTTTGTTTCTAATCCATAAGAATCTTTCTTTATCGTTTCTTTATTGATATCTTCTGCAGTATCGTTTATCGTAAGTTTTTTCTTTTTCTTTTCTGTTTTGCTACGATTAGCGATATTTTTATTCGGATTTTCTTGAATTTCTATATTACTGTTTCCAGTATTATTGACTTTGTTGTCACTTTCATCAGTAACAAATTTTTCTGAAGTAGATTTTTTTTTCTTCAGATTCTGCTTATTATCCATCGTATCCTTTTCATTATTGTGACTGTCATCATTGTCATCTGTTTCTGTAACAGACTTTCCTGAGGTAAGTTTTCTTTTTTTCAAATTTTGCTTACTATTATCCTTTTCATTATTATGACTGTTATCATTGTCTTCTGTTTCTGTAACAGACTTTCCTGCGGTAAGTTTCCTTTTTCTCAGATTCTGTTTACTATTATTATCCTTGTCATTGTGGACATTATCATTATCTTCAGTTTCGTCTTTTGAAGCCGTTTCTTTTTCATTCTCCCGATCTATATTTTGATTAGCTCCATCTTTTCTTTTTTTCTTAACTTTGACGTCGCTTTCTTCTTTAACAAATGATTTTTCTGCAGAAAATTTTTTTTTCCTTGATCTATCATTATTATCTGCTACATCCATTTCATTATCACAAGCATCACCATTATTTTCAGTTTCATCTGTCTCTTCTTTGTTATTATCTTTCAATTTTATCTTAGTATCATTTTCATTGATTGATCCAATTATCATATGATCCTTTTTAGGGTCATCAAAAGTAGTTATACTTAATAAATCAGTGGGAGATGTATACGATGGCAAAACACATCCTTTTTTTCTGAATATCTGCAAAAAAAAAATTTTTTTAATTATAAAATTATAATTATCTCTCACATTAATAATTATATGACGATATATTCTATATTCCTATCAAATACTACTTTTCATTTCTCTCACCTTAATACATTCTTGAGCACTAGTTGGTGTATCAAATTCCACAAATGCAAACCCCTTTATCTTCCTATTGCTTTTGTAACGAGGAATTGAGATGTAGTCTACATGTCCATATTTAGAAAAAATAGATTCCAACCATTCATGGTCAGCATCCGGAGGTAGGTTTTGTACATAAACTGTACACTCATCTACATTTTCCTTCCTTTTAATCGGTGTTGTTCGGCAGACCTTTGTACCATCTTCCGACACTTTCAACATAGTTGACCCCTGCAAAGCCTTAGCTATCCTGTTTATGTCTGTAGTCAGTTCGCTCAACTTATTAAACTTTATGAATTCACTAAGATCCACATCTGACAAACAATACATAATTATATTTAGAATTTTAAAGTATAGAAATAAATTAATAAAAAATAAAATTAAACTTGGATGATTAAAAAATACAGAAAAAAGTATATTTACAGGGACCATTTTGTAGAAGTCCTGATAAATAACGATCCTTGGTCAAATTAGCATCGCTGAAATAGAATTCCATTAGCTTAAGTATCGATGCGTGTAGCGCCTTCTTCCTTAGTCTGGGTTTATTGCGCGAAGAACTCGACTTATGTCGTTTAATTGCATCAATAATCGGTTCCTGCACTTGAGGAACCGGTATACTTTCCGAGGCAAGCTCCATGTCTGATTCTTGTTCTTCCATCACCATTGTATTTTCAAAAAAACATACAACAGGCTTCCTAGAAAGATGTATGGTCTACGTACTGCAAGAATGATTGACGCTATCGTTACTGCAAAAAAAAAAGTCAGTTTACCAAACTTTGAATTGATCAAATAATTATTATTTCATTTACAATTGGAGTTTACCAAACTTACAATGCAGGTTATAAGAACTGATGAGAGTAATGATTCATTGAATGACAGGTTTTTATTTTAAAATATGCCAAATTTTTCGAATTGTTGATTAACAACAGTCACTATTATTGCGTTCAACTACAATAAACATTAACTATACAAACACTTAGAAAATGTCTGCTAAACGCACTGTCGATAAGCCGGCAAAATATTAAGCAATTTCTAGTTTATTTCAATTTTTTAAATCGACCAATCATGTATTTAATGTAGGTTTACAATTAGACAGGTGATTGGTTTATTTTCTTATGTTTTCTGGACATATACATGGTGTTTCATAAAAGTTCATCTCATTCGAGCGCACTCTACCATGCGTCCTCTAGGACTAAACTACGTTCTAAGATCGAAACACGAGAGCGTCGGCCATTTGTATTGAGCGTTTCTTTACGCATCATATCAAAATGAAGTAAGTCAACGTTTTACGTATAAAATGCATCCAGCGTTCCCAGTGCAATCCCGGCGTTTTTACGACGGAAACGCGATGCACTACGTAAATACGATGTTTGCGATTAACATATATTTAATCTTTGCAGGATCGGTCTTTGTGCGTACAGCGGATACAAAATTTATCCGGGCCATGGTAAAACCATGGTCAAAGTTGATGGAAAGGTGAGCATCATTGAATCAACGATTATAAAATAATTATTAATTGCAATTTTGTTCCTTTTCAACTATCACGATATCAACAAAAAAAACATGGTTTATATGTGTTTTTATTGCAATCTGTCACTACACATGTTGAACATAACCTTTCTTTTGCGTTTTCAGACCTTTACTTTCCTCAACTCGAAATGCGAATCTGCACACTTAATGAGACGTAATCCTAGGAAAGTGACATGGACTGTCTTGTACAGGTACGGCTAAATCTATATACATTTTGTCCTAATGTGTTATTTTTTATTTTTGGCTAAAGTTAACAAATACTTAATGATTTGTCTTTTAGACGAAAACACAAGAAGGGACAAGAGGAGGAGCAAACTAAGAAGAGGACGAGGCGCACTCAAAAATTCCAGCGTGCTATCGTGGGTGCTTCCTTAACAGATATCTTGGCTAAACGCAACATGAAGCCAGAGATTCGTAAGGCCCAGAGAGAACAAGCAATCAAGTACGTATTCTTTCAGTTATTTACTCAATTATTATTAAAGAATTTTTTATACGAAGAAAGATTAAATTATAAGTAATGAAATTAAATGTTATTGAGCATGTTTTACTTAGAAATAAATATACAATAGACATCTGTTCCTCTGGCAAAGCTTTATACTATGTCAGATTTCAGAATGTCTTAGAATAAAAATGGACGGCTTCACCCAGAACTATATTTTCATTACATTGTCTGGCTTTGCGAGTTCATACAATCCATACAATACTATATCATAATTTTGCTTAACTAATATACAGTTGCTTAACTAATATACTTATTCTCAGGGCTGCAAAGGAGCAGAAGAGAGCAGCAAAGGCAACGAAGAAGGCTGTTGCTCCTCCGAAAACGAAACAACCTCCAAAACAAAAAGTTGCGAAAGTGACGCAAAAATCTGCACCTCGTGTTGGAGGAAAGCGTTAAAGTTTGTAACTATATAAATAAAGTAAAATAATTGGTATTTTGATTTGAGTTTTTAATATTGCGTGTTTAATTACAGAAATAATGAAGTTTTAAAACAGTTTATCGATTTTAACCAGTGTACAACTCTGTTTTATTTTAGGCAGTCAATATAACAATTTTTTTATAATGAATTTTATTGTATTGTTCGTATTATTTTATGTTACGTATAGGTGTGTTTCGCGAAAGGTTTTTGACAGCAATATGTACAAATATCTTTTCATTGTTTGGGCTGATTCAATTCTTTCTTGAGTATGGACAACTTCGTTAGAGCAGTGTCGCGCCACGCTCTACGTTCCTGTAGTTTGTCAAGCGGACACATCTCGTTCAACTCGTTACTGATCTTCTCTTCCATCTCGCCCACGAATTTCGGCACTGGCCCGAAAGTCATGCTCACGTCGTAGATTGACTTGTTATACGTTTCGCAGTACTTCTTCATGCCTGTAAAACGATATAGCACAATATAGAAAAAAAACTTATTTGTTTATTGATTCTTCTATTGCAGACAACTTAATGGCACTTTCTTTGTACATGGATTAGCTTACCTTCAGCATTCAAGTGCGCAGCCTCAAAGGCACCGAGGAAGGCGTAGCGCATTCCAAGACCTTCGCTCATCACCGCATCAACATCTTTAGCGCTTAGCACTCCGTCAGCTACCAATCTCCAGGCCTCGTTTAAGATCGCATACCTATCGATATAATCTTGCATGATGTGAAGTGTCTCGAGACAGTTACGATGATGATCGCCCAAATAGTTCATACGGGTGACAATATTCAATTACGTACTGTATTCTGTTGAGCGCGAAACCGTCGATCTCCCTGCTGAAGACAACAGGTTTCTGGCCGATTTCGGTCATGATAGCCTTTGTCTTCTCGGGAATGTCAGAACGTGTCCATGGAGCTGGCACTATCTCCACGAGCGGCACATAGTAAGGAGGATTCACCTGTACAATAGTATGTAATATATAATTAATTAAATAATGTAAATATAATTTCCAATTTATTTTTTAGCAAAATCGAGTGTTCGGAAAAAATTGTTATCTACACATTGGAAGCTATTTATGATTCGGCATAACTCTTATAAATTTTGTTCCGATAGATTACATTTTATGTTTGTCAGTTAATTGTAAAAATAGTTTACGTACAGGATGGGAGACTATAATTTGCTCGCGATGTTTCAGCTTCTCGCTGAAAATAGACGGCCGGAATGTGGACGTCGAGGAGGACAAGATCACCTTGTTGTCGACAATCTTGTCGAGATCGTTGTAGAGCTTCGTCTTCAACGAAAGATTTTCCGGCACACATTCCTGGACCAGTTTTGCTCCCTTCACGGTTTCCGCCAAATCGGACGATCCTACAATTAAATCCTCAATTAAAAGTCATTCTACGGTATCCTATCAATTTTTAAAAAATTGCTGTTAATTTGAGTCTTTCTCATATGATTATTTAATCATTTTATGATCTTTATATGATCATTTCATGTAATCATTTTCATGGCAAATAGGGTGCGATTACAGCAATAACAAATCGAGGAAAAATACAAGCAAACTCGGACCTTTTATTAGTTTAAATTGCTGATCCGCCTTTAATACACCGCGGAGAAGACCATCAGCTTCAAGCCGTTTCAATTGCTGCTGAATATCCTCTAAGGCTTTCTTAATTTGATCCTGGACGATATCATAAATGGTCACTTGGTATCCCACGCTGGCGAAGAGCATCGCCCAACTGCGCCCAATTAAGCCGCTGAAATAAAATATTAAGATTAACATAATATGATAATCTCACGAAGAAAAAGTATTCAGGTAATCCATACTTGTGTGTTTATTGAGATTTTTATCTCTCTTATCAAGTGGACGTTTGTTATAACTTATAACACATGTTAGATTTCATTGCAAAATTCTGATATATTCAATTTCCAATTAATTTTTTTTTTCTTGGCTTTATTTATCTCTTTTACGAAACGATTGCAAGTAATCATTCTATATTTCTATATAACTGCAACACGTTGTTTGTCACGCTTCCGTGCGTTATCTTATCTTTCGATGATTATAACTTGCTAAAAGTTTATTTAATTAAGAAAAAATTCATTTAACAATTTAAAAATCGATGATGTGATAATCGATTGGCAAAATGATAAATATTACATATCAACGCCGAAATAAAAGTTTGTTTTAAAAGATACGCTAATAATAAATATTATAAATAAATAATTAAAATTAAAAGAACATATTAGATAGAAATAAACTCTCTTTATATTTCCGTTCTAAATTAGTGATGCTTTTTTTATTTATCGATGAGTTATTGTTTGTTCGATGTGATTCATTATGTATTGCAAAAATATCAGTTCTTTCTAAATGATCCTTTCAAGGTTGATTCAAAGGTTGATTAAAGCGCACATTTTATGTAGTCAATATTATATAACTAAAGATCAATTTTTTAATGGAATATACTTTTTGAAACGATAATAAATAATAAAAAAGATTGAGCAAAATTATGAGAGAAAACGGTTTTCGCATTATAAAAAACTAATGTAATTCTCGAACAATCTTAACACTAATTTAACATAACGCGTCATAATCATATCAGCAACAAGATACAATTGGAAAAAAATAATATAAATGATATAATTTTAAATGACTGCTGCGATTGCTCATTACAATCGACATTACTTGTGAAAATTGCATTGATTATTAAATAAAATAGAAATGGATATTAATTATCATGTGTAAATTAAATTAAATTATGATTAATTACCTGCCGATGATTCCAATCTTTTCGTTTTTAGTTGACATTGTTATTGGATGGATTAATCAGGTGATTATGGAAGTGGCTCTACGAGCCGTGTTACGAATAAAATTTAACACTCTTGGATGTGGTTGGAGAGCAAATATATATACATTCACACTATCAGTCCCCCTCCATGCACACTAAAGTCACCGTCATAGATGTTTACCGCATATCACAATATGCTTATCTTGTTTGTGTGTGCACTCACTATAACGAGTTATAGCGAGTAACTGGGAGTGTAAGTAAGTAAGAGTGTGGTAAGTCAACAATTGCGTCTATTTTACTAAAAATAAATTAAATTACATAATCTTAAATTACGTTCCTCCTGTGAGGTAAAAAAATATTTTCAACAAGATCAGTTTACTTCTGACACATGTTGAATGCAATTACTTAATGAAAGCATCTCTAACAATTTAATTTAATGCGTCTAATTTTTATTTTATAAAAAATTTGATATTAAATATATTGTATTGGACACGCACTAAAATTTATTGCAAAACTCCATCAGTTTTTTTTGTTTATGAAAACTTAAGCATCAATCAAGTGCTTTGATACTAAAATTGCAAAAAGTGGAGTTAATCAATTTGACTTCTGAGCGGCTCATTTATTTATAAGAAAAATTAATAATTACACCGGCATTATCAAATATTTGACGTAAAAATTAATTTCCGCGAAATTAATTAAATGAGTTTTTCGTTGGAAAATTTAAAGAGCTTATAATAAAAGCATATTAAGAGAACAATTAATACATCATGTGGAGATAAAATAAGCAATTGCTATGACATATTTTCACTAATGAACAGTGAGGAGAACATAAAATGTTTTCAGTGCCTATAAAATTTTTGTAATAATATTATTCACACAGTTCTTAAGATTTTGTAATATTAATATCTCTTATCTTTCAAAATTTTTTAATGTTTTTTTCTTTTATTTAATAAATGAATAATTATGTGTCGTTTTCAAAATCTTTACAATAAATCTAGCATTTTTATAATAAAATTGCAGTTCTATTTATATAGATTAAGCAAATTGTATTAATTTTGAGTTTTGTTAATCAGAATTAATAAAAATTATTTATGTTATTCTTTAGCCTGAATAAAAAATCAAGAGTTTGCGAGGTCAAGTGACGTTCTACGTTCATTACTTTGCTTAACTGGTTTCTATTGCTCAATAAAGATCAGTGGGCAAATTCCAATAAGCCAGATTTAATATGCTATGAAAGAAATATCATCGATCATGGCACATTTTGGAAGCTTTTATGGAAACTAAAATAAAATATTTAAGAAAATGGAAAGTAGAAAGCGTAATACTGTGTCTCAGAAAAGGACAGAATCTGTAAAAAAAAGAAAATAGCTCTAATCATCGTAAATTTCGTTAATTCTAAATAATGTTCCATAATTATCTCGGAACTCGATTGCTGCAATGCTTTTCTACGAGATCTCAAATATGGTACGTAAAGAATTGGTTTGGAAAATGAATCTAATATCCAAAATATTTAAGTATGAAATAATCGAAATCTCTAATCGTTTGTAAAATTTTAGAAAACAGAATTATGAAAACTTTCTGAATGCGCGCGTTTCATAGAGGCATTGCGCGCCACGTTTCTCATTGTGGAAAATCCATATATCTTTTGATTGGTCAGCGCGCATATGCGCTCCGGGGAAGACCCTGCGACAGTCATCGAGGTTACGTCGCTGACGCATTCAGAAATTAAATCAGTTGATTAAATGCGCTTGGTGAGTAACTTGCTCGTGCGACAAACCGCGCTGTTATCGGGACGAGCTCCTGAAACTCCAGCAGTCCGACCGCAGTTCGACACTGACACTGATTTTTAACCACGAGGTTTGACACTTGGTGGCTCGCGCGAGATAGCTTCGCGAATTTAACGCATTTATCGTGTGTACTTTAATTCGCGAGGAAAAATCGTTCAGATGCCGGACGCGTTCGAGAACTTTAACATGGCGATACGGAGTGTCCTGACGCCAAATACTATTATGGATGACATGGACCTGTACATCTCATTCAACGGTAATACGAGCAAATACGAGTCTGCGCCTCGAAATCGCGCGGGTGTTTCGTTCTGCGCGACAAATCGTACTCATAGCATCGCAGATACAAACGATTGTTAATGATATATGACTTTATAAATATTTTGGTTGCGTATTTTAACGTATCATGTGACGTCTTCGCTTTCAGCTCATTGATAGATTTTAAAACATAACGTGGCAACCAGGCAAAATTAGTTGCAAAGGACTTTTGTACAGTTTATTAGATAATTGCTACATATTCTTCAAGTATCTGCTGTCATTTTCTGTTATTCTGATATTTTTATAATATTTGTAATATATAATGTTATATATAATATCATTCATGTGCATTGTTAAAATTATTAAGACATTTATATAATTACAAAAATTGGTATAAAAAATAATTGACAATGCTTATGCATATACAAAATAATTAATTTCTGATTATGTATTATTTGAGATTTTATATTTTGCATTTTTTTCAGATTTAACACCAGTGAATATGGATAATGTGGATAATATGGATAATATGGATCTAAGCCCATACAATAGTAACTCCTCATCTAATGACATGGTTGATGTATCACCGATGTCATCTTCCATTGTCTCGCCTTTAGATTATGTTTACAGTAATACAGGTATAAATCCTGATTTTTAATTAGTTTATTTAAGAGCATAGAACTGATTTGTGCTTGCTATGAATATAAAATTTGATATAGTATTTTTGCAATAGTTATACTTAATTAATCTAAATTAAACTTTAGTGACATTACTTGGCGAACCATACATCAGCGTCTTGGTGCAACCAGTGGAAAAATTCAGATTTCGGTACATATCTGAGATGATCGGGACACATGGGACCTTGGTTGGAAGTGGACGCAGACGAAATAAATCCAACGTACCCACAGTTCAAGTAAATGCTCAAAATTGCAAGCAGAATTATCAAGAAATTTAGATAAAGTTATCTAGACTAATCTTTGCTATGTTGTTACTATTGTAGTTACATGATTTTACGGAGAACGCGATAATACGGTGCACATTGGTTACAAGCGACGAGGAAAACCGGTTACCGCACGCTCATAGATTAGTGAGACGAAAAAACAATACGGATTCAGACGATCCGCATGATATAGAAGTTTCTCAAGAGAATAATTTTATAGCTGAGTAAGTCTATATGTTCCACTGCATAACATGTCGAGCTTTATCTTACCCTTAGCACTATACATGTTTTTATTTCAGATTTAGTTCTATGGGCATAATACACACTGCGAGAAAATTTGTGAAGGATGAAATAATACGAAAATTGCGCTTTAAAGCTCTGGAGAAGCGCAAACATGTAAATCCAAATGCTATTCTCAGTGTTCGCGATGAAGCACAGGTAGATTTTAATTCTGTTTATCATCCTAAAAATGATTCATACGATTAGATATATATTTTTATCTTTAGAGAAATAAATGACGACTAGCTTTAATATGCTGTTTAAAAAGTGTCTCGTCGATTACAGATAAAATTTGATGCGGAAGTTTATCAGAAATCTATGAATTTAAATAGCGTTACCCTCTGTTTTCAAGGATTCATCAAAGACGGAAATATTCTGAAGCCGATCACAAATCCGGTTTATAGTAATCCAATCAATAATCTAAGTAAGTTTAAATAATTTATCTTCATAAAATCTGGAACCTTTCTGGAAAAAAATTATATTGAAAATTATATTTTTATTTTAATTTTGTTTTGATATGTTATTTATATAAATATGATGCTAGCTGATGATAATGCAATGATTTGATATTAAAATGTTAATAGAAAGCGCATTAACTGGAGAGCTCAAAATATGCAGAATTGATAAATATACTAGCAGTTGCGAAGGTGGGGAAGAGGTGTTTATGCTTGTAGAGAAAGTGTCGAAAAGTAAGTTTGTATTTTTTATTTAGTATTTCAATTAGGTGTATCTTTTCTCAATAATATATATTGATAATATATATATATATATATATATACTATTTTGCAGAAAACCTAAGAATAAAATTTTTTGAATTAAACGATGACAACGTTGAGATTTGGTCCGATTATGGCCGCTTCTCAGAGCTAGATGTTCATCATCAATTCGCCGTGGTATTTCGGTATGGAAATTGGGATAAATATACAAAATCTGACAATGAAGTTCACCAATGCCATACGCGCAATCCCAACGGGACTATAGAGATCGGCTGATTATTATAATTTTTCAAACAAAATGTTTTGTAAACTAATTTCTAAAACTTTATTGTCAGACTTCATATAACGCCAAACATTTTATGATGTATATGATTCATTGTGTTTCTAGGACTCCACCGTACAAGGATTTAACTATCACTTCTCCAAAGGAAGTCTTTATTCGTCTGGAACGTCCATCAGATTTAGATTCTTCAGACGCACTCCAATTTACTTATAAACCCAGCGATCGCATAAGTAAGTTAATTATAATGTTTAACGTTATTTTTGTTATTAATTGTGAAATATTGAACCCCCCTTTTTTATTTTACTTTACGTTCTTTTCTCCCGTGTTTCTTTTTTTAGTGTGACTTTTTCAACATCTAATTATAATAATCTTGCAATTCCAGGTAGGAAGAGAACGCGAGTCTCTTATTCGAATAGTGAGGAACTGACACAAGTGGCAGTTAACAATATACCTACGCCAGTAACAAATATGTCTACAGGCAATGAAAGTTTCGAAATGCCTAGAGAAATTAAAAAGATATTAGAGGAGAGATGCCCTTCTGCTGAGTTCCAGGATTTCGTTGCAAACATAAGTGTAGAATTAGATCGTAAGTGTCGACTTGTACATATAAAAATAAATTCATTTATCTCAAGTTTACATATTTAAGAAATAAATCATGCTCAATGGGAATTAAATTTTTTGCAGTTTACGAGAAGTTTTTACAGAATAGCGAAGAATTGACTGTTGACGGAGCACCGACTAGAAAGGCAAGTATTAATTTCAAATGCAATGCATGCGACGTACAAGATAAATATTTACAATTGCAATCTTTATTATTGTCATTTTACATTTTGTTTCTGCAGGATGAGAAATCGTTCGCCAAAGATGTTGTTGCTGACACAATGAAGAAAGTCAAAGTGGAGCCAAATAAAGCAAAGGATATTATAATGAACGCACTCAAAGACAGAACAAGTTATGGTGATTCGCCATTACACTGTGCCCTTCGACACGGACAAAAAGACACTGCAAAGCATCTTTTAATGTTAATGAGCATTCTACAATCAGACGCTAAAGAGGTAGTGAATATTCAAAACAGTTCAGGCAAAGTAAGTTTTTGAACACTGATAGGTTTACACTTCTTTTGTAACAATTGCAAGAATTACTTCAATACATTGTATTATGCCGCAGACTCCGTTGCATTATGCTGCTACGTTAGACGAACCGGAAATTGCAAAAGCACTGCTCATGCTTAATGCCGATACAAATGCAGTGGACCATTATGGACAAATGCCACTACACAGAGCTGTAAGATGTACGTATCGATTTAAGAATATAAAAGCAAAATTTAGTAAATAGAAATTAGTGAAACATTTCAATTTATAAATTGAGTTAAAAATAATAGAGATAAAGATAATGCTAAAATTCTATAAGTAAATTAAAGATGCAATTTTAGTTCCGGAAGCAAAGGAATGCGTTGATGTTTTATTGAGTGACAAAAAGATCAACCTTGAAGCAAATACAGATTCCGGGTGGGCGCCTTTGTTATTAGCTGCTCAAGCGGGCTCATGTTACGCAGTGCGCGCTCTTCTCAAAGCAGGTGCAGACGTACATAATACCGAGATGTCTCATGGAAGAACTGCTTTGCATTTGGCAGTCGAAGGTAGTCACAAGGACATAGTTGAATACCTGTTGAAAAACGTGAGATTGCGTATTTATTAAAAATATTTCTTTTCCCATATAAAAACTATTAATGTTACACTAATATTCTTGACTTTTACAGACCAAAATAAATGTAAATAAAAGGAACTATAGTGGAAACACGGCACTACACGCCGCAGTAGTTACACCCGGAGCAATTGCTAAAGAATTATGTGACCTTTTGTTGGAGTATGGAGCTGATCCATACTTAAGGAATTACAATCGCGAGCACAACGAAAACAAGGTAGGTTTACGATTACTCACAAACAAATTCCATAATGTATTTAAACAGTTTTCATTACACTCGATTTTATTTTCATAATAGATTATGGACGAAACATTAGATATAAAATCTGAAGCGGACGACAACGAAGCGGACAAGGAAGAATATATCGGACAGTCATCTTTCGATTTAGCTTCGAACAATCCAGAAGTACGGTGAACAAAAATATACTTTATTATAGAGTGTATACGTATTTCTTCAAAAATGCATTTTGCAGATTTTACAATTTGTCTCCAATAAGTTGTTAGATGAATCAATTGGATACAAAAAGGAAGAGCAAGTCGCTAATGAAGAGAAAGATTGGCTGGATGCGGATCAGGAGAAACAATTAGCAACTATTTTAACCGAAACGAATGGATGGAAAAAATTGGCCCAGTACCTCAGCATCGATTATTTATTGGAATCTGTCGAACACCCGTACAATGCAACGTTGCTTCTTTTGAGTTACATTTGCGTGAGATTCTTATTTTCTTCATCGATTGTTTTGCATGAGTTTTGCGCTCCTTCGAGTGCACATTCTCAATGATATATAGATTAAATTATGAAATTTCTATTTCTTTGTAGATACAAACCAACTTCACCCTCGATCAACTGCGAGCTCTACTGTATGATTTGGCTTTAGAAGATGCTGCCGCATACCTGTCACAAATTTTGTCGCTACGGGAAACATGAGACTCGTATTTAAAAGTTTTATGTCCATTGACAATGTTGAATAATTTATAACATTGCAATATTGTGTAATATAAAAATATAAACTGGTGCTGTTTTAATGTACTCGGACGATAAAATAAAGATATCACTCGCTTTATTTATAAATTTTAAATCCGTTAGATTTTAATTATATTTACACATATATTACAAGTATAATTGTATTTATACATTCTTTTTAATTATATACATTTAAATACAAAAAAAACAAGATTACTTTCAACTAGCATTAAAATATCTAAAAGACATTTGCTTCTCTTATAGGTTCCAATTTTAAGAATCTTTCGAAACCTAACTTAGACAAGTCTATACTTATGTAACGTCTGTTCAAGATCAACTCTGATATCGCACGTCCTACCGCGGGTGCTTTTTGGATACCGTGTCCGCTGAAGCCAGTTGCTATATACACATTACGATGATAAGGATGCCGACCAATAATACCATTTTCGTCGAAAGTATTGTACTCGTAATATCCAGCCCATGCCGACTGTATCTGTGAATAATACGATAATAAAAATATATATTGTAGAAAAGGAAAATATAGTGTTTTCAGCGCATTATACTACATTTAAGATTTACAGATCGATTGCATCTGTAAGATGAACGAATATCTTAAAGGCAATATAACGCATTTTTTTATAAGGAGAAAATGTACCTTCAAACTCTCAAATGCTGGTACTCTGTTGGCGAGTAGAGGCCATATTTGGTTGTCGAAAAATTCATGATCAACATCTAAGTTATCAATTGACGGCTCCTCGTGGAATTCTGGTGATTTTCCGGCAATATAACAGCCTCCCAGACCGTCTCGCCTAAAAAGCATTTCAAACTTATTACTTTAATATTACTATTTCATTTGTTTATCTTTATTCAATCTATTTCGCTTCTAATATTATATACAGGGTGTCCCATTTTAAAAACCCCACGTGAATAACTTTTCAGAGAGACATTTTCAAGAAAAATGATTTAGACCAAAGTTGTTGGGTTTGGAGGGGGATATCCGATGATGACATTGGTTTAACCTAGGGTGTACATGCCAAGGTCATATAGAGGTCAACTTTGTTTTTTTAAATAGAACACCCTATTTTTTATTCCAAAATTTAATAGCTGGTGTCAAGAGCTTTTCAAAACACTATAATGAAGTTATTTTCCATTAAGTACTTTTCGAGTTATAAGGCTTGAAAGTTACAGCATTTTGACATAAAATACAAAATATCTTGTAAAACATTCAGTTTTTGAGAATGTTATCTTAATACTTTTATGCACAAAATAATGAGACAAATGAATTGGTATAAAGAAAACACATTGGTTTTAAAAAAAAGTATGTAGTTGCATGTTGCAAATTACATATTTTTTCTTGAAAGCAACTAAAGTCACGTGGGGTTTTTAAAATGGGACACCCTGTATATTTAGAAATGTATTTAGAGTACTACCTGAAATATGCACCAGAAGGATCAATCGTTAAAGGTGTATTCAAACCAGGTCCATTAGGACAGTGGAAACAATACACATATCTTTTCCTGCAAGAAAAAGGCTTTTCGATAATAACAAATAAAAAAGCGAGAAGTAACAAAATTCGAGATTTTCAACATTAAATAAAATTACCTGGGTACCACGGGCAAAGGTACAGATAATAGATCTTTGCCCATTCCGATATCAGCCAATTCAGCTACGTCCCCACTAAATGCACCTGCAGCTATAATAACTGAGGAAAACTCTATTTTCTTAATCTCACCGTCCTTCGTTTTGACCTACAAAACATATTTGCCTACATTAAATATAACAAGTTATACAAAATGTTTTATGGACAAAATTAATCACACGATCTGCACATTATAAATATAAATACATGAATGTTATATATTTATACTCACAACTACATTGTTTAACTTTTTAGCAGGAGTCATATCACGTTCATAAGTTCCTGGTTCCTGCACATACTGAAAAGCCTTAACGTCGGCGTTGACATACTGAACGCCTAAATAAGTAGCCTTCCTTTTTAAAGCACATAACAAAGACCAAGGATCGAACCATCCTTCCTTTTCCAGTCCGAGGCAGCCTGCCGCGATTCCGTCAGTGCTTAACCAGGGAAACCTCTGCTTCAGCTTCTCTGCGGTGAGAACTACGTTTTTCGCTCCCAGAGAGTTCTGCAGCTTGGAGTTTCGCACTAAAGTTTCAGCACCTGCTTCAGTCGCCAATACCAAGTAGCCGTAGGGATGATAATTCAATTCGATGGGTGGCTCTCCGGGAATACCTAAATGTTCATTAACATTTCGCACGAACTCTGCACCATACAGTGACATCTCAATATTTTCTTCAAGGGAAAACTGTTGGCGCAAGCCACCCACCGAAAGAGTTGTAGAAGCCTTGGCATACTGAAATAATCAATATTAAATATATTTTTTAACTTAACTTTTTCAGGAGCATTTTTTTTATGCTTGGACAATTTTTACTATCTCTGATATTTATGTATCTTTCTAAATTACTCAATATAAATCTGTTAGATTTGAAAAATAACAGATTATAATGACCTTTTCTCAAAGGATTAAACAAAACAATATATAAATTTATATCTTACCGTAGGATCTTTTTCAACTACAACAACATTGAACTCTTCTCTGTAAACCTTCTGCTTTAGCCAGTATGCTATCGAGCTGCCTATTGCACCACCGCCAATAATGAGTATATCACAATGAGTAGGAATTATCTCCGGTCCTTTCCAGAAAGTTTGAAAATCAGAGAACTCCCTATTAGGTGATAATAATCTTTTGAAGTTCTTCCACTCTTGTTTCAAACCTTTCAGCATTTTTTCTCCTGGAGTAATTGTGTCTACAAAATTTTTATATTTCTCTTCTTCATTGTTGTTTTTGATCTCTGAACTCTGTAAAATTAATACAACAAACATATATTATAAATTATATTTAAAAATAATGATTTATTATACTTGATTATAGTTTTTAAATTTGTTTTACTTTTGTCTGTCCTAGAACTTTTTTTAAACTTTCCTAAAGAGTAATATATACGTAAGAGAAAAATATGATTTTAAATATAAGACGTATATAAAATTATTATATAATATAAAATAAATCATAAAAAATATAAAACTCTGCAAAATATACAGTGAACGATATACAGTAACTGACTCATGGCTTACTTGATTACTATATTATTAATTACAATTATCATCGCTATGACAGATGTTACATTCATTTAAATTTATTTAAAAAAAAAACAAACGTTCAATGGAACCGCTAAAATGGACTGTCAAATTCAATTTAATTGATTTTACTAACTAAAATATCATCTCTTAATATTCTAACCTATAATCATCTCTAACAAACATATTTGCACATAAATTACCTTTTTTCTTGATGAATTTATAAACTGAATCGCCGAACATTGTTTTAAAAAATCCACTCCACTTTTTCCGCGTGTTAAATGTTGCAGTATCTTCATAATTCTCGACTGTTACTGAAAAATTTCCTCTCTTAAGAAACTGTTATCACCATTTATCAGTTACGCTAACGCAATACAAATATAAAAATATATTGTTATCACTATTTTTACTCACATTTTCTGATTATTTTCCTGGAAGCTGGAAAATAATAAAACTATAAATTTTATGAAAAGATTATAGTAGTAAAACGAGACCAACGAAGCATGTGCTCAGCATGTGCTTCGCGATACCCCTAGTGCGCATATAGTTACAAATAATAATTATTTTTTTAATATCTTTAGAAAATTGTTATTTAACATGACAGTACGATTATCGTAAGAATCGATATTTTATTATATACTTACATGAAATGTATTGATTTTGCAAAGTTAAGGCAAAACCGAGACTTTAGAAATGACCGGTTTTTTCTTATAGAAGATATTCACAAATTAATCAAGGAAACAATCACTAGATTTTGAGTTTGTTTTACGATAATTTAAAAATACTGTTATTTTCATAATAATTGTAATCAATAATATTATAAATGTACAATAAAATATTCCTTCAAAAATAAAAAAAAAAAGAAATAGGTATAATAAATGTTGTACATTGTATCTTATTTATTTGTATTAATCTGTGCGATAATAATTTTTAATTAAAAATATGCTGATAATCTGTGGAAATATACCGCATTATTATTATCTTTGAACATGATTATGTTTGTCATCGACGTTCCTCTCTCTTATCTGATAAATTCATCTTATGCACAATCACCGCCGACATAAAATATATACAGGGTGATTCAAAATAACCTGATGTCCTTGCAATGCCATATTCTTGAGCGAATTCTGAGACGATTTTTCCTTTTACAAAATTTTGTCTGAAGCTTAGTTTTCGAGTTCTAATTGAAAATAGTTTGCTACTTATGAGTCCGATACAATGGACAGGCAGGGACGGTGCAATGCGTCATGAGACGATAATAAACACTTGATAGTCTCATTATATGTTGTGCGTCCCTGCCTGCCCGTTGTACCGAACTCGTAAGTTGCTACCTATTTTCAATTATAACTCGAAAACTAAGCTTCGGACATCAGGTTATTTTGAATCACCCTTATACAGTCCCGCGAGACTTGTCCCACTGGGAACAGGGAGGTAGATGGGATCGACGCGCTCTCATTAGTCCACATGTAAAAATTAATATCTCGTTTATTATTGCGAATATCGTAAAATGGTAAAGGACTTTTATATTTATTTCGATCCCATCTACCTCCCTGTTCCCGATGGGATAAGTCTCGCGGGACACCCTGTATATATATATTTCTTTACAAAAATTACACTCTGGTTTTTTATTAACAATAAATTTGAAATATAAATATCCGCATTTTATTTAAAAATATACAATACAAGAACAACTTTCAAATTATATAAATTGCTAAGGTATCTAAAAATTTAGTGAATTATGTTCCTCAATATGAATCTCACATATTCTTCTTATATGCCTTTTTCATAGTAACGCATAAAATAATACAACTGATACAATGTTGATTATTCATTAAAATACACGCACATGCGATAAACTAAAATAATCGTATTTTATGTGGAATATGAACATTTTATGAAATATTATCACAAACTATTACAATCATATGCAATTAGTCAATTAGTATTCTTATTTTCATTATCTATCATATTACAAGGTATTAATACTAGCTTGGGTATCATACCAGGTGGGGCTATGAATTGCCGAGTACCCTGAGATATGTTTTGACCGGAATATTGTATTTCTGCTTCCGTGACGATCTTGCAAATATTCATTTTAATATCAGCCTGTGCCTTTGGTGGTAACTTCTTCACTGTCTGCGCCATGCTGTCAAAAAATAGCTCTATACCAGTCTTAGTCTCAGGTGCTAAATAGACTTGATCAAAATTGGTGTCGCTATCCTTTGCACTGCTCATTTTCTTCGTAGATGAGATGGGTGTATTTGTTGAATTTGTTGTGAAAATAGAATTACCTACTGTAGTAACACCAAAAAAATTTGAATTGGGAGCTTTAAAAGAAGAGTTTTTTACATTGTAGGAACTTGACATTTTTGAGGGTGAAGATTCGGTTTTTATACGTTTTGGACCTATTTTTCGATATTTAGTTTGTATCTGTTCGACATAGGTTTCGATATCTTGTTGCGATGTGTCTTCTACAGCGCCAATACTCTGAGCGATTAATTGCTCGTCACCGTCCAATATTTCTATCGTTTCAGTTTCTATTTGAACTGGATTAACCGTTGTCTCTTCAAGAACTTCTAAGTATTCACTGTAGTCTTCATCATTTCGATCTTCCAACTGTTCTAATAGACCTTCAGAACTTATTCCACCTGAGTTTATCTCCTGGATGTATTCCTCAGTCAGTTCTACACACTGCGGTTGATAGTCCAATTCGCATCTATGAAAATATATTTAGTTTAGAAAATAAAACTCTTCAAGAATTCAACTAATATTAAAAATATTTCTTACGGAAACTTTAAAAAACTTAGACTATCTTCAAAAATCCATTTTTTCTTCCTTGGACCCTCTTCTGTTTTATTCTTAATCTTTAGTATGCGACAATAAGTATCTCTAAGATTTTTCCATTTTAATCTCACAAAACTCGCTGTAAACAAACATCTCGTTAATTCAAACAATGACATGTGAGAGACCTACTAACGATACATTCATAAAAAACATACGATCTAATCCGAGTTCATCTGAGATGCGACACCAAACTTTCTGTTTGAACTCCTGTAATCTAGCTGACAATCCCTTCACTTCAGTGCAATATAGCACTGGATGTTGCTTAACAGTTTCTATAATCTTCAGTGAGATCTGATTGCAATCGGGTGGCACCGTTGATGAAGACATCTCGTAGAAGTTACGCGGCGACGTCAATAATTAACCTGCAAGAAAAAAAATTCATTAAATTAGAATAAAGTATTCGTATACGGCATGTGATTCGTGTTGTGTTTTGTTTGTCTCAGAATCGTTTTCGTATTCCCGCCGTCGTCGTTCAGCTGGTGACTGCGAAACCAGCGATTACTAAAGCCCGACGCGGTAATGCGATATTTCGCGTGGAAATTCATCAATCGACGAATTACTCAAGCTAGATTTCGATGCGCGCGCGTCAACACAGCACGATTGTGCACACGGGCGTAACGTCGCCCAGTACCGAACGTGAAAACGCCGGACTGATCGCGACCGCAAGTAATACCTCGCAAATCAGCGAAAATCGCTCAATGATAAAAAGGATTTTACCAGTCCAATGGCCGTAGACGTTGTCGTTCGTTGTAATGACGCCTCGGTCGAGTTGCTTGTACTTCCGTCGCAATCTCGCCCTTTTGATACGCCGGAAGTTTAGTTCTATTTACGTCGAATGCTCGTAATTGGTTTTTTTATTTTTTCTTCTTCATTCCTACATACCGCACGACTCTGATCATTTTCAAATATTTCTGTGTTGTAGATTTTGCTTTAATTAAGATGATATTTTATCTTTACAAGTTTTTTGGACGCTTTGATGGCCAATGCGAGTCGCAGAAGAACATTCTCCTAACTTGTAGAAGTTACTAAGAAACACATGTTCTTATTGGATATCAGAATAATTTAGCCTCGAGTAATCAGATCACTTTCGCAAGACGTCAGCATTGTTTGGTCAGCTAATAACATATATTACATATATAACATATTTACATATATTATATATATAATATATACATATATATAAAGATGTCTTAAAGATATCCTAAAAGCATAATAAAAGACATTTTTAGGACATTCTAAAACCGTTCTGAAAAAGACGTCGTTTTGTAATTTCTTTAACAACTCGTATTTTGAATTTTGCAACAAAGAACTTTCTAAAAATTAATTATGTTACGGGTATAATAACCCGTATAATAAATTTTATCGTGCTTAATTCGGTAAAGGTGTGAGGGTCAAACAACCCAGAAGAAAGGATTTTTTAAAATAAAGTTCCTAATGAAAAATAGTTTCCGCTCGGTTGCGATTGCGGTTCAAAAGGTAAAAAAGAGAAAGAAGACAGTACGTCTGCTCTCTTCTATTAGTTGAACGGCCGAGCGTACACGAATGTGGTCTCCGTTGCATGCGTGTGGGGCCCAAATATGCACGTCTGGCGACATTGGTGTTCAGATTTGTTCATGTAATCGTATGTAGCGAAGTGGTGTTTCTCAGGAAGAAATTGTGAATTTCTGAGTAAAAACGATGGCGCATATTCCCTCAGAGCTTGTGTCGCATTCGCAAAAAGTATGTCGCCTGTATAAGCGTTCTCTGCGTTGTCTGGCGGATTGGTATCATAGAACACATGATTACAGGTATGCATAAGCTGTCAGTATCTGTTCGTTTGTATCTATATTTTCATGCACAAAGTGAATGAAATTGTAAATCCAAACTTTGAGGAAACAAACAAAAGTTATAAAAAGTACAACTAAAATGAAATCTATCTACACAAGATAATTGTAATTTGTTTCTTAGAAGCTCTACTTAATTTGAGCCACTCTGAAGATATTATATTAATAATATTTATTATAATTACATTAATTGTATTTTTTTTACAGGATCCAAGCTGTGCTAATGAGAGAACGCTTTGACAAAAACAAAGATGTAAAGGACATGCGTGTCGCTAAGCATCTGCTAGAGGAAGGAGAGAAAGAACTCTTTTCCAAGATACATTATCAACCAATAATGTTTCCTAATTCAGCCAGAGGAGGAGCATATGGCCGAGAAGTCCATGTTCCAGACTACGTCTTGGATCATTGGCATCCTCTAGAAAAAGCTAGGTATCCTAAATACTTTGAGCGTCGCGAAAAAATGAAGGATGAATATGAGGAATGGTATTACAAAACGTATCCAGAAGAGAAGAAGATCAAGGATCACTAAACACCTGCAAAATGTATATTTATGTTACATCAATGCAATGTAACTTGTAGATAATATCGTAATATAATGTTTATTGTTATGAAAATTGTTTTAAAAAGTAACACAACATATATATATACCCTTATTACAAAATATTAATTCAGGTTTCATTTTCAATGGCAATAAAAAATTCAAAATTGCATATAAATCATATTGTAATATTTTCTGTTCTGTCATATAAATAGCAAGTTTTGATTCTTTCAATGATAAAAATTAAATCTTACGTAAATGTTAAACAATTGTGCCAGAATTAAGAGATAAATTCATCGTGTAATGTATGACAGTATATATATTACGTTTTTTTTTCCTTTTTTGTCCATAGAGTTTTTATTATATAATCAGAATACATGCCAATCTCTAGTAGATTTCTTTATATATAATTTTATCCATTATATGTTCAACGTAATATATAATACTAACATTAGCGTATATAAAGCAATGTGTGACTTGAAACCTCTTCGGTCCTTCGTCTAATTTCTTCTATCACACGCAGATAACACGGTAAGAAATTATTGCGCTTGGACGTTTGTGGTTTCGAATGTCATTCTATCCGGACAATATTGGGCGACAGAACTCCTTATATCCGTCCATAAAAAAATTACATGACAATTAAGCGGAATTAAGGATCGGCAATATTCCTGTGCGCCACCTTGAATCATTATGTCAACAGCGAACACATTCGTGAGCTTCGTGAATTTGTTCGTTTCTGGTCAGACCATTATCGTGACAATATCTTAATACAGATATAAATATCTAAATAAAATAGAATCGGAACGCTCGGGCATTATAGCATGTTTCTACAGAAGCAATGATTACACATTCGATTATACAGGTAAACTAAATCTAAAGTTATTAAAGGATTCATTTTTTTGTTTTATATCACGAACATTCGCCTGGGCGCGCGATTAATTCAATTGACTTTCATGGATTACATTATTTATAGGTTGATTAACCTCTTGACTGCGGGACACTCAAAAGTACAATGTATGTTGTACACGAGCGAGTTAAAATAATAGTCGCTTCTAAATGTATGCTATACTTTCGTGCGTAATGCAAGATTGTTTTTCGTATTAAAAAACCCATAAACGATTTGATCACTTAATTATTGCACACGAAATAAATTTTTTGATTAATATTTTATATCTTACAAGTGCTTAAAGACACTGATAGAGTACAATAAATGAGATTCTATCGAGCGCCCAAAAACTAATCACTTTTGTCGAAACCTAAAGACGCTGTTAGCAGTCAAAAGGTTAAAATACTGGGATGAAAAAACTGCATTAATACGCTTGCGTAGACTCGGAACGTCGGCAGTTTTTACGTCCAAATCGCAAATAAATTGGCATACGTCGAAATTGTATTCGAATTTCATACGAACGTTACAAAGATTATATTTACCTTCTTAATTTTAGTATGATCAAAAACAATATTTTACGCTGACGCTAGAAGTTATAGTAAGTATAGATAGTATTTTGCGTATTATTTATATATAAATAAAATATGTGGATAAATGTTTTCACTTATGTTACAATTCTTAAACATTGATAGTTTCAATTTCGATAGCGACGTCCGAATCCAGAACCCAAGCGCAACGAATTAAAATTAATAACTAGATGAAACTTGGTATTCCATTATTAAATATGATCCCTAATATCTCTGTACATGTGTATATATCTACTATTCAATGCGTTGTTTATCGAATATAACGATCACATGTAAGATTCTAATCAAAGTGCATGAAATACTGTGAGAAAAGTAAGTTAAAATAGAAAAAAGTGGAAGATAAAAAGATGAAAGAAGATAATCTGATCAGATAAAAAAACTGACAATTATATTGTTTCTCTTTAGTTTCTTATTTGGAACAGATTTATGCATCACACAAAAAATGTTAACGTGCAAGAATACAAGAAATACATACATACAAGAAATTTGATTGAAGTGTGCAGATTAAAGTTTGTTGTTTAATTGCTAAATTAAAAATTGAAATATCTAACATATTTATATTCTACGTCAATTTGTTTTACTTACACAGGGCGTCCCAGATCGAACACACTGTACTAAAATGTACACAGTTTTGTATTAGAATTTTCATTTAAAAAATGTGCCATTTCAACGGTGCGTTCGGTTTCAGACACCCTGTATACAATCTTAATTCATTGCGCGTATATTCTGGAATTTCTAACAAGATATAGTAAACAACTACTACACACACGAATTCTCCTGCAAGAACACTAATGTACCTATTCTACCTTTACGTTTTCCCATTAACCCTTCAAATGTAGCTTTTGAAATTGAAACGACCAACGGCATACTATCTGTATTAGTTATCTAACTCCTTTTCTATTTCCAGTTTTTGTCTATCGCGCGATATTGTCCTGTTACACAAGTCAGTTATTCATTCAGGACTCGTCACTTAGAACTAACTAGTGGGCGGAGGTGGCGGCGGTGGCTGCGCCAGTAACGTCGGTAACGTGTTCAAGTCAATTCCAGGTGGTGCGGGAGTTTGTTGCTGCGGCGGAGGTGGAACCGGTGCAGCCGGCGGCCAACCGCCCATTTGTTGCGGCTGCCAGCCGCCGGGGAAGCCCGGTGGCGGCGCCGTGCCAGGCGGTGGCGGTCGCATCGGCCCTTGCTGACCTTGCTGCCATGGCGGTATGCCCATTCCGGGTGGCGGAATCTGCGTGGGTGGCATCTGGCCCGGCGGTGGCGGTTGATTGTTGCCAGCCATCCAGGGCATCAATGGCGGAATGTTGGGCTGCGTAGTGGAGCCTGGCGGCGGCGGTGGCGGCTGCATCACACCAGGCGGCGGCGGCATGCTCACCGGCGGTTGCCACTGCATGTTCATATTGTTCATACCCTCACCACCTTGACTCCACGGTGGCGGCGCCATACCGGGCGGCGGCATCATCGGTCCGCCCTGCATCATCTGTGGCGGGGGATGCGCCGGCGCCGCCATCAATGCGCGAGGTGGCTGTTGTCTAAAAAGGACGAATGATCATTGCATTTCTGTTTATAGATTCGAAGAAATATATAATACAATTTATCGTAATATAGAAACGAAAAGAGGAGAAAGATTGCAGAATTTTTTATACCTATCAAAAAGTCCAGGATAATTTGGATTAGGATTGGGATTCTGTCTGGCCTGTCCGGTCTTCGATCTGTCCGGTGGTGGTCCCTCTCCCAACTCCGCCATAAGTGACATATACTCCTCATCAATTTTAGCCTTGTCTCCGGCTTGGCCCATACCTCCCATTCCGGCAGCAGCTGGACCACCTTGACCGGGTCTTTTCGATCTACAATCTCGGGCAATGTGTCCTGCACCGCCGCAACTCGAACACACTATGTTGTTCGTTACGTTTGGCTTATCTGGACACTAAAATTTCGAAATAAAAAATTAGTTTCTCAAGAAATTCTTTCAATAAAAACGTTACGTGATTCATGTACGAACCAGCCATGATTTGTGATCCGAAGCCCCACAGTTAGTGCACCGTGGGCCGTCGTTCTCTCGTAAAGTTCCATTTAGCAGAGCTAATTCGCGTAACTGATTACGTCGTAAATCGTTTTGGCCCTCAGGCACTTCCACACCTTGTCGAATAATCTCGTGTATCTAGCGACATAAATCTAATTAGTTCTCATTGTTCTCACTGTGCTTATCCCAATTATCAAATAGTGATAAAAAAAAGTAAATGTCATACTTTGTCTATATTTAATTTCTATAAATTTCTTTCACGGTTAGAGCTTCTAAATATTGTGAAAAAACAAAATGTTACAAATAAACGTGGAGAAACATACCCGTTCTACAGCCTTTTTCACAGCATCTAGATTGTTCGCAGTAATGTACGCATGCAAAGGTTCATCCTCACCCGGTAAAGGCTGACCATCTTTCCTGCCAACCTTTCCTTCCTTTACAGAGCCTTTTCCGCGAATTATAATTTTTGCACCCGTTTCTTTTTCCATAGCTAAAAAATATTCAATTTTAAGATAAAAATGAAAACTTCAATTTTATGCATTACGTAAGCCCAGTGGAAATAGTTTGTCAACTATAGTTTGTCAACAATAGTTTGTCAAAACGCAACTCACTTACATTTTAGAGTATTTCCACGCGGTCCAATAAGCAAACCGACAAAATTTATATCAGGATGTTCCTCTTGAGGAATCATTACTTTGTCATGAACACGTATAATCGGTGGCCTAAAAAACAGAAAAATAAATATAAATATACAAAAATAAATAAATATTTTTATAAAATTGTTTGGAAATGTGTAATGCAACATTTAGAGATGACTCACTTATAATCTGGTGGTGGCTTAAACTCCGGATTGATTTTGAGGATCTTCTGAATCAGATTATGACGTTCTTCTTCCAATTTACGTCTTGTACGATATTCCCTTGTGTTCAACCGTTTACCATCGCTACTGTAAATAGGCTCTGGAGATGGGGATCTGAAAAATAAAAACAACAATACCATATCAAGATATAAATTTTCATCAAGATGGTACTAGCGTACAAGCAACCTGAGCCTACTATGACTGTATGAATATAAGTGGGAAAGAACCCTTGATTTAGAGCAGAGAATTATAGAAATAGAACGTAATCAAATTCTGATGCATAAGTTGTTGCTATATAAATCTCTCCTGTTATTCTTAATTTGTGTAATTTAGTCTCTCTATAAACGAGATATTGCCTATATTGAAAAAAAAACATATTAGAAAATTATGAAATTTTATCCTAAATTGATTTAATAAAAAGAATTATATAATCTTGCATTGGAAATTGGTTCACAGCATTGCAAAAGCTACAACTTGTAAAAAAGGCTTATTAAAAATAATTTTGTATCAACAGCGTCCATCTGATCAATGGATGCTAGTCATTAAAATGTATATGCAACTGTTCTAGAAGTGTCGTTGCATGATGGTATCAGTTTGCTTATGTGATCATTTAATTCATTTGTTTGATATTATAAAAAATACTGTATATTAGAATTTCCCAACAGTGTCAAGGTGTTGAAATAAAAAATAGAAAAATTATGTCGCTGCCGAATATAGCATAGCTGGACATTTAGTATTCTATAGTAGGCAACCACTGGAAGACTGCGCGTTTGTGCACGGCAGATATCGGTATGATGTCAGCTGCTATAATCTAGATCCTGTGATTATTAAGAAATAATCTTTTGGATTAGTTGTAATGCGATCGGTATATCTGGCTATGTCGTATACATTATTAACGCAAACACAAAACATGACATAAAAATAATGGTTCCAGCTAAAATCTCGGAAAAGTTAAACCTATTGGAATAAATCAATTTATTAGAGAAAGTTTATTATTTACGACCTGTACCTGAAAGTAACGTTAAATTTTTTGTTACAGCATTACGGTACAAATAAGAATTTCAATAAACCGATATTTTCCTGAAATCTGCTCATTAAGATTGTAATTAGCAACAAAGATTGGCAAATTAATTAATGATCTTCCTATTGGTATTAAGATTATTATATTATAATAGTTTTAAATATTGTGCCGTGCAAATCACGGCAGCCTGAATAAAGAAACAGAATCTCACTCAAGGTGATCCATGCACAAGTTTTTGAATTCACTATGAAACGCTCAATAGTGGAATGTCAATTGCCAATATCGCAATTCTTATCTGATTATCTGATTAGATTGCAACAGATCACCTTCGAGCTATTCAACGTGTGCAAGAATGTATCTATTTAAGAAATATATGAACTAGAATACCCACTGCTCTTTAAACACTGCTACTGTACGTTCGACATAGAAATCGAATATATCCAATTATTATTTTGTTACCCTGTGCACTGAATTTTTAATTTTAATGACATTTAAGAACATGGAGTTTAATTACGTTATCCCATAGCAGTGTTTAATAAAAATGAGTTATTAAAATAGATTGATTAGGGCAAACCAATACTAGCAACATTCATCTTCTCTGTTGCGTGGGGGCTCTAAACAAGCCCAATATTTTCAACATCGGTATTCCCACACTAAGTGAACCTGAGCCATAGAGATATCTTTAAGGCTCCTGTATTATGGGCTGCTGTATGGTCAGTAGATAGGTATTGTAGATATGTAACTTTCATTTTTGGTATGTAAGTTTCTTTCAAACCTTTCCTCAGGGTTAAGCGGAATTCCAAGATCTCCGGTGCGTAGCTTCCTGCTGATTTCCTCAATCTGCAGCTGAACTGTAAACCAACGGGTTAGAGGGGGCGGAAACCCCAACAGTTAGATATTGCCAATTTCCCATAACTGTATACATTTTATACAATAAGCATGTCTCAAAATAGTAATAAAGTATTGCATATATTTAAATTGCATCTTAATTTTCATTTCTTTTTTTTTTTTAAGTTAAAAGCTTGCCATGTGTTACTAAATATAGAAATTAATTACTGAAAAGGAAAAAGAAACTGTGAAATACACAATTTCAAGTATTTCTGATATGGTAAATTGTTCTAGATAGTAAATTGTTTATAGAGACAGAACTTTATAGCATTAAAAATGCATTTAATGGTCAGTTCGTAATTATTCAGCAAAGTTGGCAATCCCTCTTGCCAAATTTGATGACTTAATGCGTTGTCAAGAAGCCTTGATGCTTACCTCTGAGAATTTTGAATTTTTATTGATACATATATCATACTTACATCATTCATAGTCATCTACTCTATAAATTAGGTTTTAAAAACTTATGTACAGAAGCAAAATGTTCAAAACAAATCCCTAGCCATACACATTAGGCTATTAAAGGAAACATATTATAAACGTGGAATGAAAGAAACTTACAGAGGTAAGCCCTCTCCTGTTCAGGAGTCAGATTTGTTGGTAGTACCGTAGGCATCCCAGGTATAAATGTTTTGTCATGTTCGCTACCACTCCATCTAGTCTTTTTCCTCTTCTTACGTTCTATCTCTTTTAGTTCTTTCTCCTGTTTACTGTCGCCTGCAAAGAATGTTATCATTAAGTTATAAAATCCGAATAATGTGGCATTGAAATAAACATTGCTCGCATGTTTGTAAAAGTGTATGAATCATGATACATTAATTTTATTACCAAAATATATGTAAAATCTTTGAAAAATTTTTTAGATAATGCTTGAACGCCTTAACTTATTTCCACTATAGAGTGTGGTTCTTCAAAGATAAACAATGACAGAGAAAGCAATAAAACCACAAATGTCATTTTTGACTAAGCACATGTTAAATTGCTTGTAGGAATTTCTATTGTGAAATCTATGTTTGCAATATACAGATAAACATTGTGAAAAATGGAGGAAGAGAAAACTATAGGAACACTCACCCTCCGTTTCTCGCTTGCGATTTTGCGTTATAATAGTAGAGTTTGTATTTGCACTCGGTTGTGCGCCGTTTGCAATCGCAGCACTTACGGCTGCAGCTGCTGCTGCCGCAGCCGCAGCCGCAGCTGCCGCTGTATTCGCACTCGCGGCATTCTGTTGCTGGGCGTTCTGCAGATAGCTTGGATTTAACAGCGATGTAAAATTCCGCGGCTGATTCATGCTGCTGATGATGCTGCGTCCGCGAGGATCGTGGTCGTGCACGCACTCTCGTTGATATTCACGTATCAACGGCAAAAGATATAACGAGGAAGTTTAAATGCAATAAGAAAATGGCGTGTGATTGATGAAGACACCGTTAGCAGTGCTAACTTAGCACACTTCTTTTGGATGTAAAATCGGACGTCAGCCGTATATACCTCAAGGCTTCTGTACAACGGACTCGCCAATTGGTACATTTACATCGGTGAGTCATCGCGTTAACCAACATGTCGGACAGTATGGCCAATCAGATCAATCGTATTATATCGTAATGTGCAATGGTCACAAATGTCTATACTAGTACTAGATCGCTAACTTCGTCAAAAGACCGGTTTATGCTTCGGTCTTAAGGCCGAAGCATAAACCGGCCATTAGTCCGTGGTAAAAAGAAACAGGAGGGAGCGTTTGATCGTAAAAGTGCGGACGGAAGTGACTATATAAAGTGGTCGCTCAAGATGGCCGCTCAAGGGCGCCAATATTGAATGACTTGTTATGTTTAATTAGGAAATAATGTACAATTAAAAGAAAATAACTATAATAGGCAACAATAATACCAAATTTTAATGACGTTTTTCATTGGGATTGCACTCGTGCAGTATTTCCATAAGAGCAATGTTAAAATCTAAAATCTAAATTTATATTAAATCCTTCGTCCTTACAAAAATTTATCCATGCATTTCTTTGATCCGGATTTTTCGGAAACCTGTTTGTGAGTGAAAATTATTTAGTAATTATTGTGAATCTACAATTTCACAATACTATACATATGATTATAATCTCCAAAATAAAAATCTCATTAATGTTGATAATACAAACCGATGAAACGTTATTCCATGATTTCGAGCTGCTGCTGTTATGCCACAAGCTCTACAGTATACCATTTTGATCGTTTATTTCCATACACTGTTGCATAAAAGACTATACACTGCATATTAATGCGTACGGCGTACGGTATGCCGCTTGCCGCAATGCTCGAGCATTCCCTCTCACTTTCAAAAAGTGGTCGTTCAAGATGGCTGCCATGACGTACATCCGTCCGCGGATTTACCTAGTCCTGGCTAGTATATGCTCCCTCCTGTTTCTTTTTACTCAATGGGACACAAGGAGATAAAAACACACGTAACGGTATTACTATTTTTTATTTAACAGATTATAATTGTTTATTTGTATTTTATTCATAAGAAAACTACAGAATATATTATAATTTTAACAAAAATTTTAATTAAATCGTCAAATTTAGTTAAATAAATAAAATTAAAAAAAGCATTACTAGTAATAACTAGTAACTTTTAGTAACTTTTACGGAAATTTCATGGAATTACGGCTCCATGGGACACAAGGAGATAAAACACACGTAACGTTACGGACGCAATCCCTAGTAACTTTTGCGGACTTTCGGTGCGGATTACGGATTACGGGTTCTATGTGACGCCGGCCTAAGACGACCAGTCAAAATAAACTGAAAATTGCGATGTTTTAAAAGATATTTCACTAGAAAATTTTCAAAAAATGCGTAATATAAATTTACATAAATTTTTAGTAAATAAAATTAATTCTGTTTTCACAGATCATATTCTAGATTGTTATAATTTGCGTTTAAATTTATTTAACAATTTGCTACAGTGCGTTTAAAATTTAAAAATAAGCGTAGATTTTTATTACCAAATCGCAAATATTATGAGAGTAAATCTATGGCAGTGCACCATTCTTTTAAGTAAAATTAATGTTTTTTAAGTTTTAAAAAATTAAGTTTTATTTTTAATAATTAAGTTTTATTATATGCAATAACATTATTATTTTGGTTGTGATAACATTATTTTATGCAAATATTTTGTGCAATAATATTATTTTTGTTATAATAATATTATTTTGTATAACAAATAACATTATTTTATATATAACATCTATTTATTTCCATTTATTAAAATAAATACACAATCTTGAAAATAGTACGATTCAAAAACTGCTAGGAATAGCTTAAACATGGCGGACCAATCATAAATGATAGTTGTATGGCGTCACTCTGATTAAAGCATAGACATAGTAAGTATAGACTGAGCATCCTTTGTATAAGCGGTGATGTATACAATGAGAGAGAGAAAAGATATTAAGATGAGTTTCTCTCTCTTTTCAATGCCAGAGAGTGGGGGAGCACTTCTCTTCATTCGCCGGCGCCGGTTCGTCGTTTCCTATGTCTATTTCCATAGACATAGGAAACGACGAACCGGCGCCGGCGGATGAGGAGAAGTGCTTCCCACTCTCTGGCATTGAAAAGAGAGAGAAACTCATCTTAATATTTTTTCTCTCTCTCATTGTATACATCACCGCTTATACAAAGGATGCTCAGTCTATACTTATTATGTCTATGGATTAAAGTAAGGCACTATAAACGTGAGTATTCTACCGTCTGCTCTGGTCTCCGCCATTTCTGTTCCGTTCTCCCACTCTTTGCCCTCTCGCCTCTATCGCTGAGCTGACAAGTTTATGATAATTAGGTTATGGTTTCTAAGCTGCTCGAACTCTGTATTTGCGTGTATCCCACTGTAAACAAAAAAAAGATAAATGTCTTGCTGCGTTGCGGTCAATTGTACCAATAAAACAGAAAACGGTGTTCGAGTATTTGCATTTCTTGTGGATGATATTCGTCGACAGCAATGGATACGTAATCTCCGCAGAGAGTCTTGGACACCAACCAAATATTCGCGTCTCTGTGAAGTAAGTTTATTCTCTTAAATTTCCAATTTACGTAGCTTTTTCTGTTTGTTTAGGATCATGGATCGTTTTTTTAAGTGTAGTTTAGATTTGTCACCGTTTGAAATTACATAAATATGAATAACTGTAATCAATAAAGACATTTATCTTATAAGCAAACTTTGTATTTCAGAAACATTTTGAAGAATCATAGTTTGAGATTGATCAAGCAGATAATTGGCGATAATTAAAACCAAACGCCATACCAACACTTTTCGATATACCTGATCCACCTGCAATGAATAAAAATGAAACAGATGAACCAAATACAAATGCCACTGCTGAGAAAGACATAAGTTTCTATGATACATTACAGTAAGATAAAGAAATGACATGTATTAATTTGTTTGTTTATTTATTCATTTATTTATTATTATTATATTTATGGGCATGACTAATACTCTTGTACACATCGTACGAGTAATTAAATATAAACATAAGATTAATGAAAAAATTTACGTCTTTCTCAGCAATGGCATTTGTATTTGGTTCATCTGTTTCATTTTTATTAATTGCAGATGGATCAGGTATATCGAAAAGTGTTGGTATGGCGTTTGGTTTTAATTTTTGCCAATTATCTGCTCGACCAGTCTCAAACTGTAATTCTTCAAAATGTTTCTGAAATAAAAAAACTGCTTATAAGATAAATGTCCTTATTGATTACAGTTATTCATATTTATGTCATTTCAAACGGTGACAAATCTAAACTACACTTAAAAAAACGATCCATGATTCTAAACAAACAGAAAAAGCTACGTAAATTAGAAATTTAAGAGAATAAACTTACTTCACAGAAGCACGATTGATTTGGTTGGTGTACAAGACTCTCTTTTTGTTCACATTCGGATAATCAAATACACGTAACACAGAGTTCGAGCAGCTTAGAAACCATAACCTAATTATCATAAACTTGTCAGCTCAGTGACAGAGGCATGAGGGCAAGGAGTGGGGAACGGAACAGAAATGGCGGAGACCAGAGCAGACGGTAGAATACCTACATCTTTAGTGCTTTAATTAAAGACTCTCTAGTCTTCTAAGGGCGGTATTCATAGTCCGTTCTTATATTCAAAATCGTCTTAAGCACGGACTTATATTCGCTCTCTTCGTCACACATAGATTGTGTCTGACGAAAAGAGCGAATATAAGTTCGTGCTTAAAACAATCTTGAATATAAAAACGGACTATGAATACCGGCCTAAGCTGCTCGAACTTTGTTGAGATCGAGAGGGTAAGGAGTGGGGGGAATGGGACAAAAATGGCGCAGACGAGAATACCTGTATCTTTAGTGCTCTAGTTTATATAGAGTTCACTGAATTTATATAAGCATTTAAACATAATAAAAAAATTTTCAATCAATTTTCTTTTATTTAATAAATATTGCTAAAATGCTTTTTTATTCCTTTGTGGTTAAAGTGGTTCTTTTCCGTAAGTCCAATTCAAAAAGACCACCCATTGTACAACCATACATATGGGTACTATCAAATTCTAGAGAATGTATCTTTAAGCGATTTACATACGTCTAAGAATTTTCAAGAGAGTTAATAATAATTTACTAATAAAGTACAAGATACAAAAATTTTTAAATAATACAAACTTGAATGGCCACATTCTGTCTCTGATCCCATAAGTGAGCAGCTCTATAATGCCCCGTCATAAAAGTGTACATATTATCTGATGAGCAACACAAAGCGTAATATTTGGGAAAATCCCAACTACGTACAACAAAATTGGATGTTCTGAAATTATAGTACAACAAATATGAAAAAATTGAAAGCTTAACTAGTATTAACAATAAGATTTATTACCTTATATCTATTTTTTTAATAGAATTATAAAAACACGTGAGAATAGTGTGAGGATTCTCCCATATTAGTTGCACACATCCACTTTCAAAACTTTTATTTATTATCTGATAACTAAAATTTTTTACATTAGTTTGTTGTATATTATTCCAAATATACTTGATTAGGTTAATATGTATTATATTTCTGCAGTTTCATACTTTTTAGAATTTTTGGGTTATCAAACCGTCCTTGTAAGTTATAATTAGAAATGTTATTAAATCGGATGATATAATAGTGTCTATATAAACATAATCAAAGGGCTTGTTTGTTTTAGCTACACTGGGGCTGCTCTGGTTCTGCTCTACACAGGATAATACAGGACAGATAAATAGTTTGTCCTGTATTATCTTGTTTAGAGCAGACCCAGAGCTGCCCCAGTGCAGCTAAAACGAACAAGCCCAAAGAGTACGTTTACACGGCAACGTTAATCGAGTTTCATAACTACGGATCTTACTATACCCAATTGAGATTGACGTGTTAATGTAGTCAATGTTCAATCGAACATTTGTAGAAATTGATTAATTAATTGAAACATAACTTACCTTTTATCAATATCGTAAATTAGAAACGACGACTTACAAATATATCTATATATGGAATTAGCCGCAAATTTTGTTCTTATAGGGTCAAATGAGATTGATTTTATATAAGATGAGACGTCTCCACAAAATATTTCGTTTTCTTCCGTACAACCTCTTCTATCATTTGTATATTTCAGTATCTACAAAAACATACTTTTTACATACTACATTAACATAGCATTATTACAATTTTTCTTTAAACATACCTTTATTGAATTTTTAGAAGCAGTTATAATGTGTTGCGATGTTGCGTTTATTTGTATAATTCTAGAATGCACATCATGTATTTTTAAACGTTCCAAAAAAAAGTTATTTTGATCATTCTTAATTTCCCAACGATTAATAACACCATTTCTACAAAAATTTTTGTCAAAAATAAAAAAAAGAAATAAACATAAAACGTAGTTCATAAATAAATACTTACATGTCGCTACTTATAATATAATCATCGCAAAGAGCAAAACATTTAATCAAAGCGTTGTCAGTACACAGAATCTTTTTACCCTTTTCAATAGTACCGTTCTTTGCGCGATTATAAGCATGAAGTTTATTGCTATTTGTTCCACAAAACCAAACCGTATTTTTAGTCATTAGTACGCATTTATTATTATTTATATGATTGATGCCGTAGCCTTCCATTACGTCATTTATTTGTCTTTTTTTATATTTTTTATATATCCAGTTGTAACTTGTAATAAATTTAGAATTTATATCTGAAGATAATAGTGGTTTACATCTGTAAAAAAAATAAGACATGTGTTCTTCAATGTAATCTTATGTAAAATCATAAATATCTATCTTCTGAAAATATATAAATATTGAAATTTATTTTAAAAAGATATAATTAAAAAATTAAATCAAGTTTTGCTAAAAATAAGATAAAAAGTTGTACCTTAAGATAATTCTAAAGTGGTCTGTTTTATCAATTTCTTTCAAATACACTATACCTTTTTTGACCGTGTAGAATAAAAACTCTTTTTCTGTAATTAAAGTACATATGCTAATACACTACAGACATTTGAAAAGATTTTTTAAGCCATGCAGCCAAAAAAAACAAAATTTACGAAAAATAAAAAGTAAAACAGATACTGTATCTGGCTTGAAAAATTCTTTCAAGTCGGCCGTCCGTAGTGTATTAGTATATGTACTTTAATTACTAAAAAGGATTTTTCATTTTACACAACCAAAAAAAGGTATAGTGTATTTGAAAAAAATTGGTAAAACAGATCACTTTAGGATTCCTTTAACGTTAATATTTAAAAAAGTTTTATCGACAAATATTGTATTAGATTTAAGAAAAAGTATTTTTGCTAAGAACACTTTTTAATTAGTAATTTTAATTGGACAAACTTGGATTAATTTAGAAGTGATTAATGATGTCATTGCATCGTCTCCGCTAATAAAAAACGGAATAATATAAAAAATCGATTCGGCAGGCAACGTGATGAGAAGAAAATTCTAGAACAGTGCTCAGAATTAGTTGAGTTTTCAACCGATTTCTGTGGTTGACGCTTTCTTTCCTTTTTTTATCGCACATGACGCAGCCGCTCTAGGATTTCTTTTTGTGTGGTTTTCCTTATAGGCTTATTCTATTAAAGACAAAAAATAATAAATTCTTAATTTAAAAGAATTAAATATCAAAAAGATTAGATTTTCTTAACCTAGTTCGTTCTTATTCCAGAATTATCTCAAGTACTGTTTTAAGATACTAATATGGCTTTTTGATTGCTTTATAACATTTTAGGAACCATACTTAAGAAAATCTTAAAGATAAAAACGGACTCTGAATATCGCTCAATAACTAAAAAAAAAAAAAGTGATAGAGGGAAAAAAACGCGTCAACAATAGTAGCTCATTGGTGACGAGAAAATCTATTAAAATATTTTTGCATAATAAATTAAAAATAAAAAAAGTATTTTTAATAAATTTTAATAAATTTCATAAATTTTCATAAAATTCAATAATTAAGAGAGAAAACTCCATTCATAAATTAATAGTGCCGCTCCTAACACTCGACGCTGGCTCGAGCAGCTTTGGCGCGT